TTAGATTGTTGGATTCTTGATAACTATCTCTTTATTTTAAACAGATTTTTCAATTAAACCAAAAAGAATATCTGTATCAATTAGACAAATAATATAAGAAGGTTAAAGATCAAAGTCCAGATGCAAAAATTGTAGGTTAGAGCCATAAGATATTAAAAAGCATCCAAGTAACTCTACCACCATACATACATAGATGTCCAAAACAAGGTAAGTCTGGACATACCAGGATTTTACACCAACATACATTTTTTTGCTGATGGTTTATTCTTGTCCAGATTATTTGATTCACAGAAAATGAGAGATACATTTTTGCCCAATTTTTGTACCAATCTAAACATTAATGTTGTCCACATACAAAAATGTGTTAAAACATTTTTTGAACATACTCGATTCTTGCATTAAGGCCCTCGATTCAGTCATATTAATTTATTGAAGTTTCAATCATTTTCGGTCATTTCCTAAACCAATTAAAAATGTTTTCATAATGTTCTCCTACCGATAAGTAAAAAACCAAATCTTCAAATACACCATTCAAATGAAAGTCCTAATTTTATAAGATTAAAATTTGATATTGTGATTGTCCTAAACCTCATACAAACATTTGTTAGTTAGCTTGAAAACTGTGAATTTATTTATATTTTATATTAATCCAGAAATCTTCAGACACATAAATAATTTTTTTTTTAGAAAAGAGATTTTTTATCATATTATAAAATATATTTCAAAATAAAATAAAAATCTATCAAATAATTTGCTTTTTTTCTGATGGTTTTGGCTAATTTCTATATAGCTAAAACATGGAAAGATTATTAGTGTATGAGTAAAATCTACCATAAAGGAACTTTTACAATATAGTGTACTTATATAAACTAGTTTATTATATACTAAATTATCTGCAAGTCAAGAAAGATAAAAAAAACAGATTATTATTATATTTTTAAATTTAATATTCAATAAAACAGTTTTGGAACATTAAATAATAGTTTTATTTTATTCTTACCTGAAAATAAGTCATTTAAATAATTTCCTAATTAACTCCAGAAACTTATACAAAATCAATATATGCTTTTAAATTATAATTATTTTCATGTTATATTAACGTAAGAATGTATCAATATGTTAAAAAAAATTTCATAATCTTAAAATTGCAATTGCTCCTACCTGAAGATGCCTATAACGCTGACTTCCACTTGTTGGGAATTATAAAAACTTGCAAAGCTGATAATAAATGAACTGATTCAGAGTCATATTGATCTAGAGAGATATACAGTGTCCTGAAGTATGTAATGTTTTATAACTAAGGTACATTTTTATTATTATTTTGTGGGAGAGAAGGTTCTACTGCTCATGACATAATATTACATGGGTGCCAAATATCTAAGGCTGCTACCATATACAGAACCAGTGCCAGCCTTAGGGCAGAACAATCCAGCCTGGGACACCAGCCCTATTATTAAGCTATATTATGGGACACCATAAAATAGCCCTATCATGGGACACCAGCCCTATCCACTGTAACCAGCCAATAGGAGGGGGGGGTGCACTCTCTACTTGATGATTATCAAGTTTGGGGCTGACGCTAGAATTTTTGCCAGAAGAAGTACGCTTAATTTTGCCACACCTTTTATCTTCCGTCAACTCCTAATAAAAGACAACATTTTATAACTTATAGATATTATTATAACATATCAACTAATTTTACTGACCAGATTACGATTAAAACTATAAAAAATAAACAAATATTTTTTTACCTAAGCTGTAATAAAAAAACATTCACCCGAAATTTGTTGCCTACTAAATTATGCTACCCAGGACAAGTGCCCATATTTCTCAATCCCAACTTCCAGACCATACGTAATTTATAAAATCCTTAAACACAGCTCTGAATTCATCAATGGCATCTTTTCGCTCAGTTTAATGATTCATTCGATGTCATCAATAAGCTTAGAACTGAGTTTAGGAACTTGCCTCTATATTGATTAATATTAAATCATATATATATGGATTCAATTTTCTGATATACTGGGTTTTAGCATCAATATGTAAATATGTTGGGTATACATACTCTCACATTTGCCGACAAAAAATCATATACACAACTCTAAACCTAGAGGGGACTCTTGATTAGTGTGGGTGACTCTTGTGTTTGTAAATGGTTATTTAATAAAAGAAAAAGCTCCCATTTGACATTTATTAACCTTTGCCTGTAAATAAAATAATTTTTTTTAATAAGAATTAGAAATTAAAAACAATAAATAGAAAAATCAATTAAATTTCTTAAACATAAAAAAATAAAAATAAAAAGAATGGAAGTAAATTAATTAATAAAAACCTATGCAAATATTTTATATATTAACACAACCCCACATAGTTAAAATATAAACAAAATATATCCATATATGGATATTTTATGGATATTATATATCCATATATGGATATTATCCATATGGATATTTTTTGTTAATTAATAATTTTTTTATATTGCTATGAGTATGAGCATGATATTCCCTAAAGGGGAGTGCTAATATTTACACTTTATTAGAATACTTTGGCAGGCGAAGAAGCAACAAATAATTCATATGAAATAATTAATAGTTAAATTGTTAATTGGGATTGTTGGTGAGCTATCTAGTGTGAGTTTCACTGTGGTATAATAGTATTTTATATTTTACAAAATATAAATACTTATAAAATATAACATCTATTATTTAAAAAAATACAACTAAGAACTTAAAAAAAATTAATTAAATTGCTCAGCACTCAAAATGAACAAAACCAAACATGAATTAATGAATCAATTCACTGAATTGATTCAATGAATCAATAATGACTGAAAACTGTAAAAAGAATTTACATTTTCATTATAAAAAAAATTATTATAAGATGCATAAAAAAATAAGTAAACCAATATTTCAGCATCAGCTCTGGAATTAATCATGATGTTGTAGCATGGATTTTTATGCAGTAAAAACTTACTGAATATACCATACTTGTAGTAGCCTGTTTTACAAGTATATTTTTAACTTATAGGCCTCTCCTAATTAAGGGGGGTATAGTCTAACTCCCTACAGGGATAGCCATACTGGTGGGAAATAGGAGCCAGGATTCAATCCTATGGTCAATGTACACTTTACACTTACAGCGCTCTAACCACTCCGCTATACTGATCTCCAAATATACCAATATACCATAAAATATACCATGCAATAATATACCATGCAAAATCTGTAAAATATTCAGTAATAAAACATTAATTATACAGTAGAAAATCTCCAAATATGGAATAAGACATATAAAGCATTAAAATATTGGGCAAGTTCCTAAACTCATCGCAGAGATCATTGATGACATCATTTTGCCAAGCTTAGAAATAGATACGATGGCATCGATGAGTTCATTTATAACTTTAAGAACTTGCTCATACTAATATGCCTACATTAAGAAACTAAAAAAAGAAAATGGAGGGAGGTTTGAAAATTATGCAAAAATTATTATATTTTTTTTTTCTTTTCTTCATAGACCATGATAATTAAAACACAGTGAGACAAAAAAAAAAATGGGAAATAAAAATATGTATATATATAAATAAAAATATATACATAATTAGAAGCAAAACCAAGTATCAAAGTAATACATAATAATAAATTATTAACAGTAGAAAACAGCTACATGTATTTAATACTACAGGATAATATTGAAAGTATTTGAAAGGATTACTAATTTACAAAAAAAAAAGAATTGAACACAAATGAATATGAAAAAGTTTAAAAAAATAAGAAATTATCACATAAGAAACTAAATGAATAAAAAATTTGTTATGTAAATATATTATTAATATGAATGTTTAAATATATAATGTATGTAAATTATTGCTCTAGATTCTAACATTCTCAAAGAAACTTAATAAGAAAAAAGGGCATCTTCAATATTAAAAAATGAAATTTAAAGGTGTGTTTAGACATTTCACAAAGTAAGGGATAAACAAATATATAAATGGTTATTTCACTATGCTAGTATTTTTGTTTCTTGTTTTTCAATTTTTTCATATCCTGTCAAGAGAAATAAAATAAATAGTTTGGTTTAGCAATAATGTCGCTCTTAAGTTAGATAATTATGTTTCCCATAGTTTGTGAAATGTCTGAACAAATCTTAAAATATTTCCTCTTGTTTCAAGCCTGCTAAACCCTTGTTTTGTTAAGAAGAGGGGATTGCATATTTTTTAAGTATTTAATTCCCTCCTATGAATAAAACCACAGGTGAATCCATGGGAGGGAGAGGGAGACTTTCCAGCTGAAGCCCCTTCCCCAAATGGTAAAGTATAAATAATGATAAACCAAGACTGATTTAAAAATTATCTCTAAAAGTATTACTCTTCCTGTAATTTAATTGGATTTCAAGAATCACTTAAATACCATTTCATACAGGTAATTCGTTTCTTTATTCTTCTTCCAAAGTAATAATCGTTAAATATATATAAAAAAAAAAAGGTTCAGGCTGAAGCCCCCCAAATTAAATCTTAGAATCTCTAGTGAATAAAAGTAACAGTTTTCAACAGCATTTAAGATAGTTTGTTTCAATATTTATATTATCCCATAACAGCAATCCATTTCATTATCTAAATTAAGTTGGAAACAATCGAAAAGGTGGAACAAATATTTTTTATTTTTTCAAAAAGTACTCCATTTATTTCCCTCTACCCTAGTTCAGGTCTTTCAGAAGAGAGGTTCATAATTTTAATTTATTTTTTAGAATTAATTTTAAATTTAAATTTTTTATATTTAAAAAAAATTCTTTATTTTTTATTAAATTTTAATTTATTCAAACAATATTATTGGTCCCAAACATCAATGAAATAAAGTGATAAGTGATAACCACCTGTTTGAACCCAAGAATCTGTTCAGTATAATGTTAAGGAAATTTAATTAATCCATCCACTTAAATAAAAAACAAAGAAACTAATATATATAACTTTATTTTTTATTTACAATTTGTAAATTGCTACTGCAACCAACTTTTTTATTAATAACCTTTTTTTCATCGTACAGATTGTGGCATCAGTGAATTGTTTTGGTTTCTCATAACCTGTATCGATGGAGGATACTTGTGATATGTTGTGTTGAATAATGTCTTTAAATTGTTTTTATTCTTGTTAACTTACGAACCTCCTTGATAAAAAAAGTGATATATAATTTGGTTTAGAGATGAGGTATTACTGCATGGTCTCTTTTATGTTAAATCATTAATATTTGAATTTAATCTAATTTTATTAATGTATTCTAAAGAGATCACAGAAAACGTTCCCGTAGTCGCTCTACGAGTCCATCTGAAAGGAGAAGAAAACGCAGTAGGGATAGGGATAGAAGAAGAAGGAGTCGAAGTAGAGAAAGATCCTCTGGCAGAGAGAGATCCAGAAGATCTCGAAGTCGAGAAAGAGCGTAAGTTATTGAGACCTTTCAGTTTTAGTTTCTTGTCGTTTTTGCTTAACAATGCTATGATCACAAGCCCATAATTTTTTCCTCACTGAATTATGTTATAATTTATGATTTTATTGTAACTGAATTTATTTACTGCCGCTGTGTTACATTAGAGTGTATGTAAGCCTTCATTTCCTTTTTAACAATTATTATTTTGAACATACACTATTTATATAAACTGTTAAGTTAAACTCATCAGATTCTAGTAGTTACTTTAAGTTATTAGTAAGCCATTACTAACTTGGTTGGATTGGTATGTGTTAATATTTTTTATCATGATATGTTATCAGATATTTATGGCAAGAGATATTATATTGATTCATAATATTTCGTTTTAATTTTAATATAAATATCCTGGTTATATGCAGAAAAGAAAAACGATCATCAGATTCAAGATCTAAGCGGAGAAATCGCTCACGTTCCCGTTCAAGAACTAGAGAAAGAGAGAGGATTGTAAAAAAAGAGGAAAAAAAAGAAGTCAAAGTTGAAGTTGATGAACCATTTGATCCTACAAAAATTGACAAGGTTTGTAGCAATTGTTATTTACCGTGTTTAGTGAGTATATTCTTCAATTTTTATTTATGCATTACTTACACTTCAGCATTATCAATATGATCTTTTGATATCTTCAATTTATGATAGTACTACTATTTACAATATTATGGTAGTAATGACTCACTGAACTAATTTTAAAACTTATACAGTCAGAGAAATTTTGAAAAATCAATACTGGGATCATAAAATACCAGACTATCAAATGTGTATTATTTTTATGTCATTCATGAGAATTATCGGTATTGTACAAGTGTCACTTCACTTTCATGAGTGTGTCAAGATCTCATGTTCATGCTATAAATTAAATTCCATGGATTGATGTGGTAAAAGTATAACCTCCCTTCATTTAGATTATAATTTATGACATCAGAAAAATACCAACTGGTCCTCTTGAGTTAAAATTGGGACCCAGAGATGTTATCATATTCATCAATAGGCTAAGTGGAATAATATTAAGGAAGTAACCAGAAGCCTATGGTTTTCAGATGGAAATAGGTGAAGGACATAATTTAGTTGCTTTAATGTGGAAAGGTGCAATGGGAAATATTGGATACATGGTTTTTCCTTGAAAGAGTTTGATCTAAGATTATGTTTTTATTGCTATGACAGCTTATTTTAGAATTATTAGGTAGGAACAAGATTGGAATAATATGAACATTTTTAAGGTGATTAGAGCCTACTACAATTATCTTTGTCTTTTCTGCATTCAAATTCAACCTGTTAGCTTCTACTCAGTGGCTAATTTGTTCAAGTTCTCTTGTAGTTTTTTTTTGTGCCTGGTAATATAGCATAAGGCGGGAAAGACAGGTACATTTGGAAGTCATCAGCATAAATATTATATTGGGAATAATGAATCTGTAGAGTAAAATCTTTAATATAGATAGCAAACAGAGTGAGGAAAGAGAAAAACCCTGAGGGATTTCACAGGTGAGGGGAAGTGTCATGGATGGAGGTTGACCCAGAATAACTACATATTGTGAACGATGCAAAGTGCTGTTGGATTAAGGAAGATTTTGTAGTTTGATAAGGGGAATGTTATGCTCGACTGAATATACATTTATGTTTACTTCAATTGTTGATTAGTTGTTACTGATATTGACGTCAATAAATATTGAAACATGATGTAGTTGTTGGCTCTCTTTTACATGTTTCAGTATTTAGAAATGTCAAAATTGACAACTTTTCAATATGTTTAAGTAGATATGTGGAAAGTATATGCGGTTCCTTAGATTGGATAGGTTAGTTTTTTTTTTTAATTGTTAACAAATATAAATCATATATATATATATATATATATATATTACTATAGTTTAAAATAATAAAAAAGATATGTTAAAACCAAATCTCTTTTTTTATCCTTGTTGGCTATGATAAAACGCAACCCTCCAATTACACAGGGAGCATACCCTCACAAATGTTAAGGACTACCGTATATCTAGTATCATTCTAGAACTCTTCTTGGTTATTCATTATGTATTTTATTAGTGAGATGTGGTTATTATGAAGTATGATCATTTGGTATTACTTCATTATGTATTATTTTTGGCCCTGAACTTCTATAATGTTTGGTCTCTTATGAGCTACTGATTTTTATTTTACAGTGTATTAATTTTTTAACTTATTGTTTGTTAATACCCTAAATAAATCATTGAAGACCTTGTAATAAAATATAATTATAGGAAGAAGAACAAAAAAGGTTAGAACTTGAAATGCAAAAAAGAAGAGAAAGGATTGAAAGGTGGAGAGCAGAAAGAAAGAAAAAAGAAGTTGAGGCAGTTAAAAAAGACTTGAAAACATCTCTAGGTAAATACAATTTTTAATTTGTTTCTATAAATTTACAAACTGATAGGTATTGTCACTATTAAGTCTCCTATCTTTTTAAAACATTTAATTGTTCCATAGCAAATCTTCAGTTACCTTCAAAAAAATGGAATCTGGAAGATGACAGTGATGAAGAAGAAGAATCTAATAAAGATGCTAATAAAGAAGGTGAAGAAGAAGAAGTCGATCCATTGGATGCATTTATGATGGTAATAAATTTTAATTTTAAGATTAAAATCTCTCCATTAGAAACTTAATATTATAATGTATTTATTGATTACAAATTCATAATGTAAAAACTTTCCATGATTAAACATGAAAAAAAAACTTCCTGTTGGAGAAAAAAATTATCAGCATAAATCTATAACACTAGAACCAGTAGTTGGATACTGGGTCAAGTTTGTTTATTTAACAACAATCATAAAAGAAATTTATGTGATCATTCATTCTCAAAATCCAGGTTTATCCTCCTATCGAATTAAGAGTATTGGGTATTCTCTTTAAAAATATTGGGTGCAACTTAATAAAGAGAATACCAGATGAGGAGCATATTAAATCTTTTGCAACATATGTTTTGAAAATAAAATTTGTGATAATGTTGTAGATATCGATTTATAAAATATTAGTATATTTTTTCCTGACTTCATAAAGATTTTCTTAAGTTGTATGGATTATTAGTTTTATAATTTGTGTGCCAATACTACAAGAGTAATGATGAATATTTTTGAAGGTTTTTGAAATCAGCTAGCTTTGTAGAAAATGGAGGCTATGATTTATTCTGTATATTTTGATTCAATATTGTGTTGCATTTTGATCATTTATAAATTCAGCAATATGTTACTTACTTTATTAGCACTACACTCCACAAGGGAGCAAGGCTGCCCGCAACATTGACTGCCATCCATCTCTTTGTTGCGCCGCTTCTTTCCAGTTATGAATGCCCAGTATGAACCGAGAATCTTCCGTCAGCCCAACGCAGCCTGGTCTGCCTACTCTTCCCTGTCCCCACAGCTGTTCCTCCAGTACCTTCCTCGGGATTTGGTCCTCGTCCATTCTCGCTAACTGTCCAGCTTACCGCAGCCGACCTATCTTAATGAAACTAATGATGTCAGTATCCCTCCAGAGAGAGACTTAACAGCTTGGCATTGGTACTATGCCTCCAGCACCCATCAACAGCGCCAGCCCCATAGATTCTGCAGAGTATTCGTCGCTCAAATCTTGCCAGAGGCAGTTCCTTAGTTCTGGGAAGTGTCAATATTCCGATCCTTAGGTCAGTACGAGTCTAATGAGTCATTTACAGCCATACCTTGGTGGTCCTGGATAAATCCTTGCACTTGAGTCCATAGTAGTATCTGTTTGCTGTCATTATTTGACAGTGGATTTCGGGGTTGTTGTCATTCGTGGAGTTCAACTGGGTTCTGAGATAGATGAATTCATCGACTCTCTCGAAGACGTGCTGCCCAATATGTACATGATCATCTCTATGCCCTCCACCCACAGGGTTCACATGCAAGTGCTTAGTTTTTGACTTTTTATAACGAGTCCCACTTTCTCTCTGCAGGTAGAGAAAGGCGTCCCTCATCGCTTCAAACGCCCTTCCAATAATATCGACATCATCTGCATAGCCCAGGATCATAATCGATATATTGAACACGGTTCCACAGACCTGGATCTTGGATCTCTGCCCTGCTCACTCTAGACTGAAGTTAAAAAGGAGGCATACTAGGCAGTCTTTTGGTTGATTTAGTTTTATGTCTGAGTCCCTTGTTAGTGTAAAAACCCTCAGACGTACCTCTTTGGACTTGCACACAGCACCTTACTTCCTTCATTATCATACGGGCCAGTGGAACAAGTTTTGGTGGGATTCCTAATTCTAGCATTCCCCTGTATAGCTCTTTTCTTGATACACTGTCGTAAGCGCGATATGTTTAATTATTACAAATATTTTTATGATACTTCAATAAAGATTATTGTAAATTTGGTTTTACCAGAATTGTTTTTATGTAGGAAGTACAAGAAGAAGTAAGGAAAGTTAACAAATTGGACAATAAGGGAGGAAAACCTGATAGTATTGAAGGAAAACCAAATGCTCAGAATAATAATTCAGGAGTTGTAATTATGACAGGGGTAGCTAAGAAGAATAACATTGCTAAAAACAAAGGTGAACTTATAGAACAGAACCAGGATGGTTTGGAGGTACGTTCATCCTATATATTCATATCTATTTTCTATTTTTATACAATCATTTTGTGAAAATTAGTCAATTATAATTATAAAAATAATGATTGAAATTTTTAAATTAATTGTTGCACCGGACAAACTTAGTTTTCAATTTGATTTTCCAATATTATATATTTACTTTTTACCTGTTAAATATCTCTTTTCTAGTATTCCTCTGAAGAAGAACAAGAAGACCTTACTTCAACTGCTGCATCGATTGCTAATAAACAAAAAAAAGAATTGGCTAAGGTTGATCATGCAGATATGAATTACATTGAATTCAGGAAAGCTTTTTATGTCGAAGTACCTGAAATTGCAAAAATGACTAATGATGAAATAGAAGCCTACCGAGAGGTATATTATAATTTTTTAATAAATTAACTTTTTTAAATGATAAATCCTAAGCTGTTGTTTTTCTTCCTTTATTCTAATGTTTTATAATTATTTTTATAGGAACTAGAAGGGATCAGAGTAAAAGGAAAAGGGTGCCCAAAACCTATAAAATCATGGGCACAATGTGGAGTAAGTAAGAAAGTGTTGGATATTTTAAAGAAACAGGGTTATGAAAAGCCAACTCCCATACAAGCGCAAGCAATTCCTGCCATCATGTCAGGTATGGTTTTTTGTTCTTAGAGCTTGCTTATAGACATTTTCGACTCTACTTAACAATGGTGACGAATATTGGGAAAATCAGTTTATTGCGACATTCTTCATTTGACGAAATCAAATTAGGCTAACTAATGTTGAATTTTATGCATTGTCGAGAAAAAACAGATCAATTAAGAAAAAATATATACAATATATTAATCGTAACTGTCGTATTATATTTATTCCAAAAAACACAAGTCTGAAGATTCATTTATGTTAAAAGAGATTTGACGGCATTATCATATTGTACGCTGATAAACTATTATGCCACCAATCTAAATAAAGTTTCAAATTGTCAAAGTAAACTACCAATTCTTTTGCCAAAATAATTTTAAAGCATGATACAATTAACTAATGGAATCAGGAGAAAAGAAATTCTCAGAGATAAATACACTTTTTTTCTCTATGTAAATATTTATTAAGATCTGTTTTAATTACTTATTGTCCAGTAATAGTGATTTAGGAGTTCATTTATACTATATTTATGAAAAATATAAATTCATCAGACAATAACCAAAACAAAAATATGAGAAATATATGATAAAAGTTAAATTAAATAAATAAACTTATTTTACAAAAGTACAAAATTTAAAATATGTTTTACAATATGATATTTACAATGTGACCAATGGCTTATTAAAAACATATAAATTCGATTGATATTACTGTAGTCTAACTCAAAATAAAAAAAAAGTATGTGTATAAACACGTACAATTCAATCCATTCTCTTGTGTTTAATACTGCTCTTAGTTTTATTGTTACGAAAATGGTTTGAGATAAGGTTTCTTAATTAAGTAGGGTCATTTGTATACATTATATTATTAAATTGTATTTATTTATTATTTTTAATCATTGGAATTAATAGTAATTTTCCTCTTATTTAGGTCGAGATCTTATTGGAATAGCTAAAACAGGTAGTGGTAAAACTTTGGCTTTTGTCCTTCCTATGTTAAGGCATATACTAGATCAACCTCCTTTAGAAGATACAGATGGTCCAATAGGTAATAATTTTTTTTTTTTTTAAATATTATTAAAACTATTATCATAATAACCTACAAGTGCAATTTTATACTTTCTCAAGCTTCTGTGGATATATCTATTTAAATCACAAATTAACCATATTGTTTTCATTGCTATCTTTATTTGTTTTTTTAAATTTTAAATTAAGCACATTAAGTAATTTCCATTTAATGCTATAGATGAAGTAGCTATTAATTCATTTATATTTCAGCTATCATTATGACCCCAACCAGAGAACTTTGTATGCAGATTGGAAAGGAATCAAGAAAATTTACTAAGTCACTTGGCCTTAGAGCTGTTTGTGTTTATGGAGGAACTGGTATTTCTGAACAAATTGCTGAGCTTAAAAGAGGTGCCGAGATAATAGTTTGCACTCCCGGAAGAATGATCGATATGCTAGCTGCTAATAGTGGTTTGTTACTTTCTAATTATTATTATCTTCTATGATTAGAAGCCTTGAACTTCATTTATTTCAATTTATATGATAATGTAGTAAATTACACTTAAAAACTATTATAGTTAGTAATTTATATTAATTGTATCTGTTTTCATAGAAAATCACTTTTTACTTTAAATCAAAACCCATGTCATGTATGTTACTTTATAGAAAGGAAGTTTGTGAAAGAGCAATAATGAGATCCAACAGTAATTTGAACACTTTATTTATTCATAGATTTCATATCTTTTGTCTGTTATGCTAACATTACTGGTCACTAGCAGATCCAGGATGTCATTTTGGAGAGGGGCTTCAGCCCGTAAGATTTCTTTTTAATATTAATATAATTACTTAGGGGAAAAAAGGAAAGAAACTAACTACCTATACCAAAAGGTGTTTAAGTGATTCTTGAAGTCCCATTAAATGTAATTACACAAACAATAATCTTTTAGAGTAATTTTTAATATATTTTTTCTTAAGACAATAATATTTTACCATTTTGGGAGGAGGGCTTCAGCACAAAAGCTCCTTCCCCGTAGATCCGCCTGTTTTACTGGTATATTACAATCAATGTAGATGTAAGTGTCAAAAATAGAAAATCTAAAATTAGAAGACTTTATTTAATCTCACACCCTAGAACTAAAGTTGAGTATTTTAAAACAGCATTCATACTATAATGAAACATTAATTTTTTAGGCCTTAACTATCTAATTGCTGGTGGATCCTTTTTATTGCTTTATACCATTTCGAATAATTTTTTCAAACTAAAAAAAAAAATCTGGTGCGTGCAACAAACAACTTTCACTTATTGCTCAATTTTGAATAGAAATTATTTTTTGGCCATGTTGGGCTATTATAAAATTTTTTAATTGAATTTTTAACTGAGCTAAAGATAAAAGATTACAGCTTACAAATCATAAATACTACTAAAATAACAAAAGTCCTATTTATTATATCACCGGTTGATTTTGGATTGTACCATTCGTTGATTATGGATTGTACGATCCGTTGATGATGGATTATACGACTATTAGTTATTAAACTATTATTTTCCATTGCAAAGTTTACTTAAACGGAATTAAGAGATTTGCATTGTCTGTTATAGACAGGTTAAAAGTTATCACACTGATTATAAGTAGATTCTGTTGGAATATCGCAAAGAGAAAATTTATCAAATTATTCACTAATTTAATTTTGTAAAAGGTTATATAATGATTTTTTGGATTGATACCTAATTATTTAAATGTAATATCAGATTTACAGTTATTAAAATACAGTAAATATATTTAAGGCTATAAACGTATCCATGATATATTTTTATATTTCACTTCTTCTTTCAAACAGGTACAATGAAATAGTATGTTGTATTAAAGATCATTTCATTATACAATGATACACCGAGTTTAATCAAAATTGTTAGAGCCGTTTTTGAGAAAATTGTAAAAATGTGTTTCAGCGCTGGTATTAAGTGGCACTTCCGGTAAGCCGATTTTAAGGGAAAGGTTGTGACATCTAAGGCATATACCTATCTTAATACCAGTATCGTACGACTTTTCGTTTTTGAGCTAGAGTGTTCACAGACACACAGACCATTTTTCAGGACTTGGTTATTTCAACTGAACAGTCAAGTGGCGGAGCGGAACCAACTTCATGATATATATATTTTTTTTTTATTGACCAACCTGAAAGGTGTTTAAGTATTATTCATCATAAAATTAATATATCTTATCTTGTAGGAAGAGTCACCAACCTGAGGCGAGTTACATATGTTGTACTCGATGAAGCAGATAGGATGTTCGATATGGGGTTTGAGCCACAGGTATGTTCCTCAATTGTTTAAATTATTTTATTTTATTTAGTATAGATAGATATGAGTTAGTATATATATTTAATCTTATATGTTTTCTCCAGGTTATGAGGATTATTGATAATATTCGGCCTGATAGGCAAACTGTGATGTTTAGCGCCACATTCCCACGACAAATGGAAGCTCTTGCCAGAAGGATATTGACGAGACCAATTGAAGTCCAAGTATGATTTAAATTTTTAATCTTTATTTCTCCTATATGATTGTATCTCAATATATAAATCTATGTGTTAAGACTATTAAAATAAGAATGGATCTTTTATTAATTGATTAGTTTTTAAATACTCCTAATTCTTGAAAATGAGTCTAAGAGTCCCAAAGAACTTCCTCCTTACTTGAATAATTATTCAAATAAATTATGAGTGCAATTTAACATCAAGTAAATAAGATAATTTGTTGGTGTTATAATGGTATTCGAGGTCGTGCTGTCAAGTATTTTAAAGCATAAACATTATATTCTTGAGTCTAGCGACACCAGTTTGAATCCACCCTGGGCAAGTTGATATTTATTTCGAGCATATACTAATAAATTACCCGCACCAACAGAATGAATCTCAACCTTCCTATCCTGGTTAGAATAGGTTTGTTAATACCTCAAGAGCAACAATCCAACTAAAACAAAAAAAAAAAAACATTGATAATGAACTTAAGCATTTTTCTACTAGCGCCCTGGTTCTTTTTTTTATTGTTCTTTTTTTTTTAAATAACATTGTTCATTAATTATTTTTATTAAAGTTATTTTTATTAGCTCATCCATCTATTACCTTTGTTGTTATTTTGTAGGTTGGAGGACGGAGTGTTGTATGCAAAGATGTTGAACAACACATTGTTATTCTCGAAGAAGAGCAAAAAATGCTTAAACTGCTTGAAATTCTTGGCCATTACCAAGAGCATGGAAGTGTTATAGTATTCGTTGATAGGCAAGAAAGTGCTGACGCTCTTCTAAAGGATTTGATGAAAGCATCATATCCATGTCTAACTCTTCATGGTGGGGTGGATCAGTATGACAGGGATAGCACCATTGTAGACTTTAAAGCAGGGAAAGCAAAGCTATTGGTAAGCACCTTCATATTGTTGTTTCATTTTGCTATGTTATATTTATAATAGTAATAACAAATAAACATGTTACCAAGGACACCATCCAATGAGAGAACTAGTTCCTGAGATATTCTGCAAATAAATTATGGTAAGAATTAACAATCTTAGAGAATTTATAATTACTAGATGCTATAGAAATTTAACTTAAATTTTATTTTATTTTATTAGTAATCCCAGTATTTTGCATATACCATTTTTAAAATAAGCTAATAAAAATATTTTTTACAGCAATACTTTAGTTATTGATAAAATACACTTAGTAAATAATCTGCTGCTTTCAATTATTAATAAATGAATTGTATAAGAAGTTCTCCTATCTATTGAAAATGGAAAAAAAAATCTTATAAGTAGTTGATGACGTGAATGCTGTATTAGGTTGAAGGAAGAGGTTCAGACACAGCCTAAGGTTTGGCACTTATATCCTGAAAGACTGAAATTTAGTTACGAGAGAAATGCATACAAAGAAATAAAAAAGTCGAGACATATTTTGTTAAATGAAAAAGAAAGACCAAATGAGTCACTAAATACTGAAGACAATTTTTGGAAATACTAACTTTTTTCTTCCCCCTGATGTCTCATATTTTTACTTTTCTGTTCCTCTGAGTTATGGTTGCTCCCTCAAAAAACTGTTTTATTTGGCAGATTCTTCGCTATCTGAAGAACTACTTTAAAATTACCTTCTTCTCCATATTTTTACATCACCTCTATATTTTACTTTAAATTCTGCTTATGAATTTATTTTTTCTCACTTCTTTCATTTGACGACAAGAAACTACTCATAAATTCTGATTATTACACTTATTTGACAAACGCTTAGTTGCTTTAAAAACTACTATGATGTTACGTTTTCTGTTATATAAAGCAGATTTACTTATTGTATTTTTTTATACAGTTGTGAATTTCAGTAAATAATTTTTTTTAAAATTATGTTTTTTGGGAGATCAATTATATTGTAGGCAAATTTATGGGCAATTATTTCATCTTTCTAGAATTTTAGAACACCCTTCGAGCATCTCTGACTGTGTTTGGCATCTCTGCTAACATGCATTTTGTCTACAAGATTCTCTTGCAGTCATGGCTTTTTTTTAGGAATAAATCCTCTCCAGCATCGAGAAAGTTCAATAAATCTAGGAAGCCTGGTGAAGAATATTGAATTCCTTGGCAGCTGTATGGAACAGAGTGATGTGTGTAAATGATCTACACCATTAGCTAAACTGGAGAACTTTTAAATAGAATGTTTTCATAAATAATAAAAATGACTAATTATTAATTTACCTGTTTCATTTCAAGTCAGCTCATTTTTAACGTAATAGTTATCTTTTATTGAAATTTTAGTTATTTTTATTGTTTCAGGTTGCAACAAGTGTGGCTGCGCGTGGACTTGATGTTAAGCACCTTATTCTGGTTGTAAATTATGATTGCCCAAATCATTATGAAGATTATGTTCATCGAAATGGCAGAACTGGAAGGTATGTACGAAAAGTAGAGAATGAGAGATAGTTCTTTCTCTCTATTATTTATTAACACTTGTCATAAATAAATAAATGTTTTTACTCTCAGTTGTGATGGCCCTTTGTTGATATGCTCCAGCCATCAGGTTTTCCATGATTATTTTATTTTATAATTTACCCTCTACCAAGCACTAAGATTCTTAGAACATTTGCCGGGTCCTTGCCAAATTAAGACAACATGCAATATTTGTGCTGTTTCAGAACCCTAATGATGTCGAGTAGTGATTATATTTGTCAGAATCATATGATTGTTCTTTTATAAGTAAAAAGATTAGGTTTATGTTTGAACTTTATTTAAAACATGATAAAGTAATGTTAGTTCATTTACAAAATATTCATTGTTCCTACTGATAATTAAATCAAATCAAATCTACATCTAGTAATACAAAAATTCTCCCTGTAAAATAAATTAGTGTTTTCTTATATTTAGGTCTAAAATAGTATAAAGTGTCCTGCAAGGCCACATCTTAATTGCAGTGTTATTTCATGTTTTTAGTTGAATATAAACTTGTTTTTTTTACTTGACAAGTGCAATCGTAATCTTTTACATGTTCTTGATCTTTTGAATTCGATTGTGTTTCAAATTAATGCAATTTTTTTCCATTACCTAGTACCCCATCGTCAATTTTTGGTGTTCTTTTATTAACAGAACAGGCGCTTGAAGCTGTCCTTGGCCTGCTCAACAGCTACCAACCATTTTTTTTAAACTTCTGTTAGGGTAATAGGATTCTTCAGTTGTCGCAGATCCTGCCCCAAAGAATTCCTCCATTGGCCCTTCGATTTACCACGTCTGTGCACAACATCCAGAACCTTAATGTACAATTTATGAGCCACTCTTTTCTCGCTCATCCTGATCACATAGCTAAGCCTCTGTATCCTGATATACGAGGAAATGATACATTCCTTGTAGAGCCTAAACAATTCTTGGTGTTACTTCAATAAATTATTAACAAATTTGATATTTGTCTAGTTGACTGATTCTCTTACATGATTAATAACTACCCCTTCTAAAATTAACTCTCCAAAACACAAAAAGCTTGGAGGTTTCATTTCTCATGAGATCTGGCAATGACAACATCTTTTCAAGAACTTGTATTATTTTCTTTAAAAAAAAAAGCTAATTCTTTAGAACAAGCAGCAGGGTACAAAATATCTTTAGGGAATTAATGTTATTTTAAACTTTTAACTTTCATTAGAACTGTATAGAGGCCAAAAAGCCATATTTCAGAAAAAATCACTGACATCCTTACTTAATAAATATTATACTGTAGAATTAATATTTTGTAAGATATAACACATACTAAATAGATTCGTATTTTAATTCGTAAAACAATGAAGAATTTTCAGTATTTATTATTTAATCTTTATAATAATATAATGTATTTAATATTGTCATTTATGTGTTTTAGAGCTGGGAATAAAGGTTATGCATATACCTTCATAACTCCTGAACAAGGAAGGTATGCCGGAGATATTGTGAGGGCTTTGGAATTGAGTGGTGTTCCTGTACCTGATGATGTCAGAAATCTGTGGGAAACCTATAAAGCTAAACAAACGGCTGTAAGTTTTTTGTTATGTCCTATATTGTTTATATATATATATATATATATATATATATTAGACATTAGTTAGTTTTTATTTATTATTTTTTACTTAATTATTTATTAGTGACATAAACTTTTATTATTATTATTTTTTTTTAGGAAGGTAAAAAAGTACATTCGGGTGGAGGTTTTAGTGGAAAAGGATTTAAATTTGACGAGAATGAAGCTATGATTGTTAATGAGAAAAAGAAGTTCCAGAAAGCAGCCCTAGGTACTGTTTATATTATTACAATTACTAGAAATCCTCCCTCAATGTTCCTTCTAGAGGATTTTATCTTTGTTTTTCATATATTCCAAACCTAGAACAATCTTCTAACGCATTCCTACTTGTAAAACAAACTTTTTTTTTAAATTAGAAAATCTTCTTCCCAATCGTTATCTACTGTTAGTCCGATATATATTTATCTTTTTTTCATTTCAGAACCTATATTTATGTATAACATTCTTAAGTGTAATACATATGTTGACTTACTTAAAACAAGAATTTTAATATAAACTATATATTTTCTATTTTTTTTTCTTTTAAAATTGTTTACTTGTTCTATGTAGAATTTAAGAGGAGTTGATCGGGGGAAGGGAGGGTGCTGTCAAATAAATACTAAATTATAAAAATAGTATTTAATATATAGAATATTTTAAATATATTAATATATAGAATTTAAGTTTTCTTCATTTTAGTTAGGAATCAAAATAATGATTTATTTTTTCATTTTACTGTATCTGCAGTCTTGAAGTACGCCTCCTTTATGACCAAGTATCATTCTGAGGACTACCTTATTATAAAATTGGGTGGATATGCTTTGTCATCTGTTTTCTTTTTTATTTATTTATAAATTTCTCAATAGAACTTCATTAGTCCTCTCATACCATGTTCAACTTCATGACATCATTGATCCATGACCTTAAGTTTCAACGTAGTTTGATTAAATTTGGAGACTAGGTTAGATAACTACTATACCATGAATTTATTTTCCACTTTTTTATTTCTTTTCTCTTTCAAATGATGCATTGCTTCTAATTTTATTAAAATCTTTCCATTTTAAATTTGTTTACTATGCCAATTTGAAGTCACAGTGTTATTATTCGCCACTATCACTCAAGCTGGGTAGAAAAGGAATTTCTGAAAAGGTAGGTCGAATCTTGATTCAGTCGTCCAATAATTGATAAGTCAGAGTTTCTTAAACACATATGTCATTATGTGAGGAGTTTCTTTACTGTTTTGAATTTTTTTTATATGAAGCTAGGACTGTAACTTGGAATTCGTTCTACCTCACCAGGATTATTGTGGAGATTTTTAAATTAAATGTAATGAGTTTAGTTCGATGGACTTAAAGAGATGAATACCTCAATTGACTGTTTGTTTTCATTAATTTTATTTTATTATTCTTTTATATACTAATAAAAGTTTTATTCATTAATCATTCTTTTAATTCCTTTTGTCTCAAATATTTTTAATTTCTTTATAAAACTCAAGCGGATAATTCTTATTATTTTTTTTCCAGGATTGCAAGACTCAGATGATGAAGATCTAGAAAACGATATTGACCAACAAATAGAAAGTATGCTTGCACCTAAAAGAACAGTGAAAGAAATTCGAGCTCCTCTTGGTTCTGTACCGAATGCTACTGGTACAGGTTAGTCTCAGACAATCTTTACTGCTTTATCTTCAGAGCATTATTATTTAAATACTTTGTTTGATTTCTAGCATAAATATTTAAACTATATTCAACTCCCATTGACAAAGCCTCTGTTTTGTTTTTTCCTGAGTACTTCTCATGCTAATTATAATTACATTTTATGCAAATTACAAATTATATTTTTAAAAGGTATTTTCTATATATATCTTTATTTCTTCAATAATTAGTTTATCTGTCTAAAAGGTTCTATAGCGAAACCTAATTCTTCTGGTATACATTTTCTAACATTCTCATTACATTAATTAGTAGAACATATCCTTTGATTTTAACATTAAAATATTATAAATTTTTACTTCCATTAGTTGTTTCATACCATTATGTGTTACCGCGTTAGCCCTAATATAGATTAAGTTATTTTCTGAAATTTTTTCTTCTATAATAAGGGTTGATTTCCTTAAAATAATGGTTTCAAGATTTGTAAGCCACTTTATATGTTAATTTTGTTTCTAATTTTGTGATAGGAGAGTTAGACTGACAGTTTATATTAATAATAAGAGAAATACTTCACTTATTATCACTCATTTTGAACAAAAAAATTATAACAAAGGTTACATACTAAACAAAAAAATAGCTTATGTAAATAATATATATTAAGATTTGAAAATACTAAATTAATTAGGTAACTTAAAGCAGTAACAAAAATTTTATATATTTTTAAAGATCAGATAAGTATAGAGAATAAAGTCAATAAGTTGAAACAATAAAACCAACTAAAACAAATCAAACTGTTATGTTTTCATATCATTGCTTAATTTTAATTTATTCCACTCTGTAATAACATATTTTCATTAAAATGCTAATATAACCCATTTTCTTTTAAAGTTTAAAAACTTAATTCTATGTAAATATGTTCTAATTTCAAATATTCTTAAGATGTTATGGTAATATTTATCTACGTAGTATCTATTTTTAGTACTTTAAAGGAATTTAATAATTTGGAAATTGATTTCATGTTGCTGGTTTAATTTTTCCATGAAAATTATTTTCAGAAAATGGATTGTTGAAAATAGGGTAATTAGTTTATTTTCTCTTTTGCCTTTTTACCTAATTTTGAAAATTGAGGTGTACATTAGAAAAATAGAAATTAATAAAATTCTTAATAAGATAAAACATGCGTTTTTAATGTTTATTTAGGAATTGCTGCTACAGATAAACTAGAACTTGCCAGAAGACTGGCTTCAAGAATCAATATGGCAAAGAATTTAGGAGCAGAAGCTAAAGGAGCTACTCAACAAGCTGCCGAAGCAATACTTAAAGGAGGCGGATCTCAGCCCATTATAACAGTTAGTAATATTTTATATTTTTGTTTAATGTAGAAAAATCAATTGTTTCACAATTAAATGCTGATTCTTCTCATCTCTTCTGCTCCTTTGTACTGTTGATGTCCTTGAAGATTGATCATCCTCTGCGCTACTTTCATTGTCTATTAACTATTGTAATTTACCAACAGGCTAAAACTGTCGCTGAACAGCTGGCTGCCAAACTCAACACTCGTCTTAATTACCAGCCAAAGGAAGAGGATGACAAAGCTGAAGATGAGCAAGTTGAGACATTTAGAAAATATGAAGAAGAATTGGAAATTAATGACTTCCCACAACAGGCTAGATGGAGAGTAACGTCCAAGGTACATCTTTATATGATGGTTTAAAAAAATTTGTTTATACCTCTAACAGATATAACATAGAGTATTAGTTTAAATTGAGTAGAGAAGTTATTTCTACTCTAATTAAGAGTAGTTTGTTGATTTCAAAAAATTAATTTAATTTAATTGTAATGAACCTTTTTACTTTCACTTACCTATTTATTAAATATATAGTAAGGGTAAGTATTGTAATCGTTAAAATTTTCAAATCTGAATTTTCAACAGAAATACATGTTTTGAGATCTCCTGAGTCCAAATAACCAAGTCCGTCAAAATGGTCTGTGTGTGTGTGTGTGTATGAACAGTCTAGCTCAAAAACAAAATGCCTTACGAAACTGATATTACGTATTTAAGATAGTTATATGCCTTAGATGTTACAGCAACTTTTTCCTTAAAATCGGCCATTTTCGGAGTCCCATAAGTACGAAAAACCCGTTTTCAACCATTTAGAATCTGTGCCAAGATTATCTCAGGAACAAATGACCAATTTTGTTGGTTCTATTTTTGTCTTAGGGTTTTGACTACCCATGCTTGTGAAACAAATTGGGCAATCTGCAGAATAAGAGAAATATTTTTCATAGACCGGTTCAAAAATGGCTCTAACAATTTTGATAGAATTTTCCTGTAATATTCTACTTCCAATTTTTGTGAATTTCAAAGAAAATTCAGAGTGAAAAGTTTTAATGAAAAGAAAAATGTTTTGGAGCCTCATTCACAAGTATACATTCTATGGTAAAATTTATATAGAATCTTTTGAAAGATAATTAGATTCCCTATACCACTAAAATCTATACAAGGGAGTACTGTTTCTTTGTCAATAGTTATGCAAGAAGGTAATTTGACCATGTTCAACTGTCAGATTTTCCCTCTTAATTAATTATTAAGAGTATCCACTTTACGTAGGCTGAGTATGCCTCAGGAGGTTCTCCTGATCCCAATGTCAATCCACGGTCGATTAAACAGAATAAATAATTTTCTGCCATCAGCCAGGTTTGAACCCGGGACCTCATGCTTTGGAAGTCCAGCACTCTACCCACCGGTAGAGCACTCTACCGGTCCCCACAAAACAAAAAAAAATATTCATCAAAATGAAATCAGTATTTGCAATGATACAGCATATTCTATTTTCTATTCTTGTTTTATTACTTTCCTACTGCTACTAGATAAGGAAATTATTGAGATCGGGTCAAATTTCTGATACACAGTTTTCAATGAATCTCTATGTTTCATTGTCCACTGAGTCCAAAAAACACATTTTATCCTATTTTTTAAAGGTTATCAAATTTCTAACAAAACTAAAAAAAAAACAGACCAGTTTTAGCAAAGTTGCAGTGTATTGAATTTTATAGCTAATTTTAATGATGGCTCACCTGCCTGTATACATTGCTTTAGTTCATCAAAGAAATTGTATTGATCAGTAATTTCTCTGATTGGTTTTCATTTCAATAATCTAATTAATTTATATATATTTTTTAATTGACGTATTCAAAGTTGTATAATTTTTCTAAAATCATTAGGAAAGTCATGTGAGTAAACACACCATATTTTTTTATTTAAATAAATAACCAGAAAGTTAAGTTGAATTTCCATGCACCCTTTTAAACTTTTGGTAAATTATTTGAAAGAATGAAAAGATACGTTGAGATATGCGAGTTTCAATTCATATTAGAGTGCTACCATTGGGTAGTTACTCAGCAAGTGTATTCATGTCATTATATCTATTATGTCCAAATTTACTTGATGTATTTATGTAATACAGTTGTAAATGTCATTAAGAAATAAAAAAAAATAAAAAATTCATATTAGTTAGATTTAGGACATTTCAAGTTATTATTGCATTGAGGTATCAGTAACCTCTCCTTATCATGACTCATTTGGAACTTATACAAGATATTACCCTGTCTATTTCAAGTTATTGCTATCATATTTTTATTTAATACATAATTCTTAAAATAATGAACATTTAGATTAAAAGGTGTATAGAAAGTATTTATAAAGAGTTATATAGTTTGAAATTTATAAGTTATCCTTTACATTCAAGAGATTCTCTCAAGAGACCGTGTAAAGTTTCGTTATAAATAAATAAATTGTGTTGACTAAAATATCTTTATCACCAATGAAGTAGTAACTGAAGCTTAAATAAATTTCCTCAAGTCAGTCTAATTGAAATGTTTTTGTATAGTTGTATTGATTTATAATTAGATTTGTCATAATTGATTTATCACTGGTTATTAATGTGAGATTTAAACTTTCTAGGAGGCGTTAGCTCAGATATCTGAATATTCTGAAGCAGGTATTACTGTTAGGGGAACTTATTACCCAACTGGTAAACCTCCACCAGAAGGAGAAAGGAAATTATTCCTCGCCATTGAAAGTACAAATGAATTAGCAGTTTCAAAAGCAAAAGCAGAAATCACAAGACTTATAAAAGAGGAACTTCTCAAACTACAAACATCAGCCCATCATAGCATTAACAAAGCGAGATATAAAGTTGTTTAATTTAGAAATACATGTATTTACAAATTTATTTTAGATTTTTATAATTATTTTACATAAATTTTACTATGTAATATAAATATTTTCTTTTATATTGTAGGATTCAATAAAAAAAATTAATTTTTATTTATCCAGGAGTTTATTCAGACTTTTCTAATTATATAGATGTTAAATTGTGGCTATTAACTTCATGTATATATTTCTAGTTCTTTAAGAAGGTATATAATCTTTACTGTGTCGAAAGAACATATCTGTTGAAATTTAAATATGTCTTAATCTCTATTAAACAGTTCTTGTAATTTTTTTTTTAAATCGTCTAGTACACCTATCAGATGCTTATTGATGTTGGTTTCTGTATTTCATCAATGAAAAACAACTCTCTCCTTCATTCCTTCCTTAACAGCTTGATTCTCAGTGATATGTTCATTTTATGATTTGTTATACTGTTAGCATTGTTACATTATTTTATTTTGGCCTTAACTCTTGCTCCCAACACATTATTTAGAAAACGATAGGTGCAATTTCCTGAAGAATTTCTAAGCTGTCCAGTGAATGATGAGAACTGGGAATGCCACAGTTTTTCGGAGTACTATATTTTTGTGAATGCTTTAATTGTATAATAGAAAGGAGGGGGGGCGATGATGATATGACTATAACAGTATTGCTTGGTATAAATGTCTCGATTAAATTCTAAAATCTGTTGTTTTTTTCTGTTCTCAATGGCATTAGATAACAGCTTACTTAGCCTGGGGACATAATTGTTTATAGACTTCAAAATTATTGCTTTAGGTTCTTTTTTTTAATATATAAAGATAATCACTCTAGGAGAAAAAGAAGAAAACTAAGTACCTATATAATATAGAGTTTAAGCAATTCTTTAAGTACTATTAAACATAATTACACAAACAATAATACTTTAAGAGGTAATTATTAAATATTTTTTTCATAAGACGGTTATATCTTAACATTTTAGAGGGAGGCTTCAGTTCAAAAGTACCCTCCCCCTTCCCCCTGTAAATCCGCTTGTGCATTGAGTAAATGTATAAATGGTACAAGGTGAATGACACCCTTAATTGGTTAATTAATATTTACTTGTAAAGTAGGATCAATCTTCATGATCATGAATCAGCCAACGCCTGTATCTAAAGAAACTTTAATTTATAGTAGTTTTGGTAGTCTTAATATGAAAACAGTTGGTGATTTATAATTTCTTTAAATTTTTTCCTTGTTAAATCTTAATGTAAGATAAGATATGAACTTTAAAAAAAATATATCAATAAAAAGTGAATATTGCAAGTTGGTAACTAATTTGATTGAGAGTAAACTAAAAATTTTTATCTATATAATAAAACCTGTTAACTTATAATCTGTTTTCATCCACTCAAGTTAATCGATTACAATCTTGAAATATATATTACAGAAAACCATAATCTAATCAGTTTTGAAGAATTACTACATTAGTCTAGTCCAAGAGGTTTAAAAAAAAAGAAGAGTTATCATATGTAGAATTTTATTCATACATTAATTTTGGAAAGCAAGAGGTTGAAAAATATAAAATTGAGTGAAAATTATTGATTAACCATATTAAGAAACAGTATAAAGTACAACCTATTTATTTTTGTGTACAAAAATTACATGATTAAATACAAAAAATTATATAATATATAATGATTCTGAACTGAAAAAGAAAATTTAAATAGAAAAGATAATAGAAAGAATTTTTTTTTTTTTACAGAATTATTGATTTTTTCGATTTCTTCTCTTCATAGCAGCAGTACAATGCGGACAATACCACTTTCCTTTGGGTTTATCTGTTATTCCAACACATGGATAATGGTACCATTCATAAGGGCACTGTAAAATGAAAAAAAAAATAACATATTAGATAAGTAAATATTAAAACCAACAAGGACTTCATATTAAACAAGTGATATAATATGAAATTGGCTTGCATTGAAAAATAAAAAATAGGACTCAAATAACAAAAGTAAATAACACATGAAAATAAGCTTGTTTTAAAAAAACAAAACAATTCTAAGAAATTTAAAGCTATTTCCATCATCTCAACAGATATTTCCTCTATAAGATATAAACAAAACACCAAATTCGAGTAATCAGAGTCAATTAATTGTATGAAATTAAAAAGTAAACGAAAGAACCTTTGATGTGCTTTAATAGTAGTTCAATGTTGCTGAACTTAACTCAGATATATTCAACTATAGGTACGAATCTAGAAAAATTATATTTATTGTATTAAAAAAACAATACCGTTTTGTTGTCGCAGGCAACCATTGTCCCAAAGGCAACTTCATTGCAAATACAGTATCTTGGCTCATTTGGATCATAGCTTTCTGAATTTCTGTCAGATGAAACAGATGGTGGTTCAGAAGGTGATGGAATAGATGCTGGAGAGGATGCAGGTGTTGCATTCAAACCACTTGAAACACTGGATAATATACTCGATTTCCTAAAAGAAATAAAAATTAAGTTTTATATGTTTAAAAAATCAAACTTCAAAAATATTTTTAAAAATGGGTTTTTTAATGATTCATGGAGGAGAATAATCAGAAATTGTAGAAGTGAGATAATGCTGAACTAATTTCTGTAAAAAATCCTCTAAAATCAATGCTTTAAAAAAACTAGACTTCCTTTTTTTTCCTATTTATTAATTTTTTACTCGACTAGTTCTATCAAGACAATTTCCACTGTAATGTAGTAATTAGCCTAAGGTATATGGTGAGGTAATGTACACTGTTTCTAGATTAGCCTTTTGCTTTTTAATTTAGTAACTCGGTTAACTGAGCAACCTCTGTCATAAAACATGTTTAGCAAAAATCTGCAGGAGTTCAGGGAATTGAACAAATTCCTTCATAATTATTAGGTAATACAGCTAGGAGGTAGTATTACAAAGGTGGAAATAAAATTAAACTGAAATAAGCAGAATCACTTTTTATGTTTTTTATGAGTGTCTTGTATGGCCGCGATTGCTGTTTGTGCTGCTCCAGCTAACTCTTTACTGATACTGATTTCATGACCATGTCCTGAACCACTGCCACCTCCAGTTCCTCCACCACTACCAGAATGAATTGCCTCGTATGACGCTTTCAAACTAGCAGTCCGCCTTCCCTGCTGCATCTGAAATATAAAATTTAAAATATGTGAAAAGTCCATATGAATAAAACTTGAATTTTACATTCTTTAACATTAAGACAAACATTTTAAAAATATTTACTGAAGAATCATACCAGAGGGTTACTAGTTCTGACTAAAATTTATGATTCCATCAATCATAACAAGCAATTATACTTGTTACTGTTTCCTATTTGATTTGATTGAGTCTTGACCTACCTCATCCTTTAAGGTTAATGAATAGTGATAAGTGTTTATGACTATTATTATTTTATTGAGATCAGTCAGGGATAATTAATATAAAATATAACATTTAATTTTTATTTTGTTAATTCTTGTGATCAATAATTCGGCCCAACTATATAAACTACACTAAAAAAAAACAGGTCATTCTGTCAGAGTGAATAGAACATAAGCTAATTATCAAGTTAATGTATCATACTTTATTATTATATCTCAGCTTTTGTCATCTAAATGCTCAATGTCCCCAACATCCTACTGTTCTATTATTGACTGATTCTTAAGAAATTTAATCATTTTAGCCTAAACAATTTTCAAAATTGTTATAAGTTTTCCAATATTGTATTCCAATCACTTTAATTCTGGATATCATTTTCACATTTCAGTGGCATAATTTATTATTACTTTTGATTCTGTTTCAAAATTTCAGAAATGTTTTTTCTGATGCAAAAGTTTTTTATAATATATAATTAATTATCCAGATAATTTTGTACATTGCTGCTGGGTGGATAAAGCCTTTGAAATATATCAGTAACACAATTTTTTTTTAAAACTTCTTTCTTTCAACTATCCCTCTAAAAACCCTAAAGTACCTTAGAGATTAAAATATTTTAGAAAAAAAGGAGTAAAACTATTAGATTCGTATTTACCTGCTGAGTAGCAGCAATAGCTTGAGACGCAGCTGCAGCTATTGCTGATCCACCAGCACCAATATGACCGAGGGAATAAACTGCAGGTGTTACAGTAGTTGTTACATTAGTACTTGAAACTCTTATATCCGGGATAATTTTTTCAACATTTACTCTTTTCAATTCAGAACTTCCAGAATCCCTTCTTTTTTCTACAAATGAAAATTACATTTCAAATTTAAAGAAACCACAAATCTAATAATTATTATACTGATGAAAATGAATATTACCATGATGACTAATTCTTTGTGATGGGGCAAAACTATACCGATTTTCTTTTTGACTTGAATTTGTTGAAGTGATGTTGTCCATATCATGAGATCCTAAAACCAAACATAAAACATTAATTTTACCCAGAATAATTACCACCAACTAAATTAAGTCAAAGGGATACAGTTTCACAAATGTCTCTTCAGTATGATCAATAGGCACAAGATCACATGATCACACTATAGAAGAAATTCTGAAAATGGTCGATTGCAACCCAAAGATGGAAGCAACCAAATTACTTGCTTACTCCAAAATCAACTGAAAGACGAAGAGGTTTGTTAATTACTTTTAACTGAACAGATCTTAGTTGAAAGGCGGAACACTCACAAACAAGGTTGTCAATACTTGACAAATTTCATTTCATCTACAGTGAGATCATGTAATCTTATGCTCATAAATCATATTGGAGTGACATTTGAGAAGTCATAAAGTCAAAGGTAATGAAAATACAAAGCAGATACATTCTAATTTTTTTCATATACTCACGTTTTTCTAATATTTCAGTTATTCCACTGTGGTCAGCCTCTAATTCTAATTTAAACTTATGAGTTTCTTGATCTAGCCGTCTTAAATATCTGGCAACTAAATCATAAACTTGATTTGATAATTGCACTTTCTCATCTGAAAATAAAATAGTTTCTAAAAAGATATGAAGTAAACATAAATAGATGATGCAAGACAAAATTCCTACCAGCATCTTCAAGTGTTTTGTAATAATCTTTCCTAATGGTTTCATATTCTGCTTCTTTCTCCGCAGGTTTCATTCTCTTTGCATTTGAAAAAAAGAACTTCACTCTCTTTTCCAAACTATCCATTGAATCTTTAAAAATACAAATGTAATTAATACATAGCAAAATATACACAGAAAACTGAAGCACCAATGACTCAACTGGTCAGAAAGCAAAATACTGGACTTAGAAAGAAAATAATGGTATATAAACATTGAAGAATACCTACTTTGAACTTGTAAATCCAGTTCTCTCATTTCTGTAAACCTATCTCGAAGCTCTTGGGGTAAATGTTCAATCACTATAAAAACATATTAATTACAATTCAAACTAAATTTCAGGTATTAGAAATTCATTATATACAAGTATGAGATCAAACTAATAAGCTATAAAGAATAATGTATTTAACTGAACCTTATCTATAATTACTTACTTTCCAAATAATCTTCCAAGTATAGCATCTTGGTTAACTATTTCTTCACTAATATTCTTTAAAATATACCACTGAACACGAAAATAATTATATCTCTATAATGCAGTTTAAATTTTATTTAATCAACAACTGCTTATCTTATAGATGAATTCATCGTTTTTTGAGATATTTTGACAATAACCATTATTTTTTAATAATAATAGTGTTATTTCTAATATAATGATATACGTTATTAATATAAATACAGCAAGACTATTTTCAATGAAAGGGAGCGCCGACGCAATCAGATTTTTATTATAACAATTTCTAATTAAAGATTTTCGATATTTTAAATCTTTGTTGAAAACATTTATTGGCGATATAACCCAGCTTTAGGACATTTATACAATGAACAAAAATCAAAGTAATATTACCAAAATATAACCTATTTCTAGTGTAACCTTCGCATCATTACAACAGAACTGCTTATTCACTCGAGCAACTCTTGTATTGTGAATTTATCGTTTTTAGCTAAAATGCCCGATTATCTTGGTGATGATATGAGAAAAACAAAAGAGGAGAAGGAGGAAGAAAAGGATATTAAATGTAAGTTTAGTTTTATTTGTATCCAAAATTTCTAATATGTTTGTTTTTAATAGCTTATCATTTTATGTTTTAGCTCTTGATGAAGCTGATATCGCTTTACTTAAAACTTATGTAAGAAATATGATTTATGTTATTACTGTTTTTTTTTTATGTTGCTTGGGACTAGTTAATTTTTGTTTTCTCTTACAGGGACAGGGTCAATACACAAAAAGCATTAAAAGTGTTGAAGATGATATACAGACGATAATCAAACGTGTTAATGAACTAACAGGTATTAAGGAATCAGATACTGGTTTAGCTCCTCCTGCTCTATGGGACTTGGCCGCAGATAAGCAAATACTCCAAAATGAACAGCCCCTTCAGGTGTAGTGTGGAATAATTAACGTTTATATTTAGAAAATAGAATACCATTGTGGATGTATTGTTTATTTGTTATCAGATCAAAATATGGTGTACTAAGCTCAGTTTGATTGTTGTCACTGAAAATGCAAAACATAGTTCACTTTTTTTTTAACGAGAACCTATGTCGAAAGTTAAGATTCATAAATAGTGCAGATTTATGACTGGTAAAATATCTTTTTAGCTTAAAAGTTATATAAATAAGTTTTATGCCAGCGTTGCCCGGCAACCTGATGACTGAAGTTATGAATGATTTAACAGATAGGAGTTCGCTTTGCTGTGCAGAGAGGAGCTTTTAACTCTGGTATTAATCCTCCCTCTCGCCCTCTGGCCCAGCAAAACTATAATCTAAAAGCCGATAAAAGAGAGAACAAAAAAAAAGTTATTCATGAGTTACTATACACTGATTTAAAATAGTTAAAGATATATAGCACTTAGGCAATTACTTTTAAAAAATATATTAAGTCCAGAAGTGGTAGTGCCAAATGATGATACTATATATTAGTTTTTAATAGGTGATGTATATAATTAAAGTAATGTGTACAAAGTCCTCTAATTTGCTTTCGAAATCACTTGGAAAACTTATCCTACAAACAAGAGTTGATCCTTTCCTTTCCTTTATTTATTGATAATAGGTGATATATTATATAGTGAAAGGATTTAATTTTATATTCTGATACAGGTTGCCAGATGTACAAAAATTATTAATGCTGATTCTGAAGACCCAAAATACATTATAAATGTAAAGCAGTTTGCGAAATTTGTGGTTGACTTAGCTGATTCAGTTGCACCTACTGATATTGAAGAAGGGATGAGAGTCGGGTATGGATCTTTATTTTTTTTTGCTCTTGCTTATTTTATTTTTGCTTTACTTATAGATGAATATGGTTTTTAGTGTTGATAGAAACAAATATCAAATTCAGATACCTCTTCCACCAAAAATAGATCCAACTGTAACTATGATGCAGGTTGAGGAAAAACCCGATGTCACTTACAGCGATGTTGGTGGTTGCAATGAACAAATTGAAAAATTGAGAGAAGTAGTTGAGACACCTTTGTTACAGGTAATATTAAATTTTTAAAGTCAATGAGAAGTTTAAATTATATGTTTTCGTAATGTTTTTTTCTTATAAACAATCCTCTTCTCAAATTTAATAATATGCATATCATCATCCGATGGCGCTATGGTCCTTTTAGAACCTTGGCCTGCTCTACTATCTTCCTCCAAATTGACCTTTCTCCGATTCCATCTGAAGAACATTATAGATGTCAATAAATGTTTTTAGTGGGCTCTTAATGAAAAAGAGTGGACTAGAAGAATTTACATGAAAAGTTGTTCTATGGAACTGCCCTGACTCTTAAAATTTTATGAACAGGAAAATTCAGCCACACTCTTTTCTGTATAGATTTTTAAAATTAATATTATTATTTTTTTGCAGCTCAGCAATTGGGTTTTTATCAAGCAGCTCTTTAATTGTTATATTATTAGTATAAAAATTGAATCCTTTTCATATATATGAAAGCTTGTTGAGTAGAGTCTTTTAAGAGAACTTTATTTACTTTTTGTGGACTCAACCTTTCTCTGTTTAGATCACTGAATTTTTAAGCTTAATAAATGAATAAAACATACTTATTAGCACTACACCATTATTATTATTACTTAACATATAATAGCAGTTTCTGAATATTAATCTAATAATCTATTTTCAGCCTGAAAAGTTTGTGAATTTAGGAATTGAACCACCAAAAGGAGTTCTTCTTTTTGGTCCTCCTGGTACAGGAAAAACACTTTGCGCTAGAGCAGTTGCTAATAGAACCGATGCTTGTTTTATTAGAGTAATTGGTTCAGAACTTGTCCAAAAATATGTTGGAGAGGTATTTATGATGGTTTCAGATAATAATACATTTATTTTTAATAATTAAAAATGTAATAATCCATTGCTGTCCTTAAAATAGGGAGCAAGAATGGTGCGTGAACTCTTTGAAATGGCTAGAAGTAAAAAAGCTTGCCTAATTTTTTTTGATGAAATAGATGCTATTGGTGGAGCCAGGTTTGATGACGGAGCTGGGGGTGATAATGAAGTTCAAAGAACAATGTTAGAACTTATCAACCAGCTTGATGGTTTTGATCCCAGGGGTAACATTAAGGTATTGTTTTATTATCATTTTAAAACATTATTAATTATAAGATTATTGATTTTTTACATGTGTATATGTATTTCAATTATAAAAGTAAAATAATAAAGTGAATTCACATATTATGAAATATAGTGCAACTAGTTATTATGGAAGGTTGAGTTTGATTCCTGGAACTTTCTGATCTTTATTAGGGATTTGGATTGATAAATTAAAGATAGAGATAATAAATTCAAAATAAAACTGATATTAGTGATTAGACCATTTTGTTTTGATAACATGTTGCTCAGCTACATAGCTTTGTAGACTTTCGTTTAGTTTTAAAAAAATTTATTTTATTAGTTTATTGCTAAAAGTCACTAAATATCATTATAGAAAGTGAAAAGAACGTACTTTGATGAATTCTCTGTCTGTGAAATCAAAACATAATTCACTTATTTTATGCCTTCTTTAGACATATTACAGGGTCTATGCTAGTTTGTTGCACGTAATAAGTTTTGGCATTAAAAAATGTGATTTAAATTGACAAATATGTAGTTTTAAGGTTAGCTACCTCAAAACTATTTACTGACTTTATGTAATAAATAGACAATATATTTATTCATTAATTCCTAAATAAATAAAAACTGATCTATCATTTATGTAATAGTGTTCCCTAATAATAGTCATATTTTGTAAAAATGACGTTTTTTATTAAATTGTACCACATAAAAAAGGAAAAATCTTCCCCCTCCCAAAAAAAAAAAAAAAAAAAAAAAAAAAAAAAAAAAAAAAAAAAAAAATGACATTAATGATTATTCAATATTTTTTGTAGTGAAGTTAAAAGCTAATAGTCAACAATAATTTTTTTTTTTTTTCACAATGTTTCAGCTATCTAGAACCATTCTCAAGTATATAGAGATATTTTTCTATTAATTTGCTGAATTTTTTTGATAACTATTGGATCACAATTTTATTATAAAAATATCATCTCACCATATATGACCACAAAGAAATAAATTAGTAATTCCAATTTATCTAGTTTATTTGTTATAGAGTTATATTGATTCTTTGCAAATTCATTACACAAAGCGTACATGAAATGTTTGAATAAATCTTTAATAATAATTGACATTGTTTCTTTTTTAATTTGATAGCAGTTCTATCCAAATGTCTAAATTTTTGTAAAATTCTCTATTCTTAATGGAAGAAAGGAATCAGCCTTCAGGTACTATTTATCCATTATATAATAAATGTTTTGTAAGCTACTGGATTTTACCATTATTCAGAAATTCCTCTAGAGTTTCCTACATTGCTTAGTTTATTGTATTCTGTTAGATTTTTTATTTAATTAAAATGTTCAGAAACTACCGAGAGATATTTTAGGTTCTTCTGAATTATTTTTCTATTCTTAGCTTCATTGGATTAATGATTATTCTATTATGGACAAGATCATTATAGTTTTAAATATTATTTAAAGTTAATTTATTTGTTACTTTTACTTAAAAACTGCAGTATGTCAAGCTTCGGTTGTGTTCAATAATTATATTGTTTATTTCGTTATGTATCAAATCCCAATGAATGTTAATCTTTATATTTTTTTTCTGTTACTGTTCATTATTTGTCTAATTGTCATAATCTGCCAGGTTTTAATGGCAACAAATAGACCTGACACTTTGGACCCTGCCTTGATGAGACCTGGAAGGCTGGACAGAAAAGTAGAGTTTGGACTACCTGATCTGGAAGGTCGTTCTCATATTTTCAAAATTCATGCACGCTCAATGAGTGTAGAGAGAGATATTCGATTTGAGTTACTTGCTAGACTCTGTCCCAATAGTACAGGTAATATGTTTATCTCAATATAAAGTTTTATTTTTGTATGGTTCTCACTGATAAATTACCAAATCAAAATGTGGACTGTATAAGCAGTGTCAGCAAGATATATTTATGTTTGTAATGATTTTTTTTAAGACGATAATTCTGGAACTAATTTAATTTTTTTTAAATTGTTTGATTGTTTTTTTTGCTTGCTAGGAGCCGAAATCAGATCGGTTTGCACAGAAGCTGGGATGTTTGCAATTCGTGCTCGAAGGAAAGTTGCTACAGAAAAGGATTTCCTTGAAGCAGTAAATAAAGTGATTAAATCTTATGCTAAATTCTCCGCCACTCCAAGATACATGACATATAATTAATAGCTATCTCCGCATTAACTAATTTCATTAAATTATGTTACTTTTTTAAAAATAAAATTTATTATTCTGCTCACACTGATATGTTTATTTTTTCTAGTCTCGATTTCCTTATAATTAAGATAGAAATCCCTGTACTTAGTTTTGAAGAGAGGCAATACGTTAATAGAAGAGACAAGAAACCTTGATAATCAATAATCGATAGTCCATAACATCACCAAAAGGAGTTGAAAATCAAGGAACTAATATCCTATATCATATAGATATACAAAAAAAAAATTATGTATACATATATTATGAATGCTATGATAAAGCTAGTTCTAATACATGGCTGTGAGACCTGGACACTGACCAGCACCCTAGAAAACAGTGTTGAAAGATTTGAGAGGAAAATCCAACGCATGATAACCTGAGCGTTCTGGGATCAGAGTACTAACACATGGAGAAGAAAGACCCTTAAAGAACTGCTTACAGAAAATGGTCAATCAATATCCCATGATATGAAGGCGCTGAGATTGGGCTGGGCATATAATTCATAACGATCTATCTGGAAGCCTTTACTTAACAATGAATGCCTCAATAAAAATCAAAAAAACATGTGGAAGGCAAAAAGCAGATGGATAGATAGAATCAACAAAGATGCAATAGAGCTGCATGCAGATAAATGGAAAGAAATAGCCCAAGACAGGCAGAGATGGAGCAGGTTTGTTAAGGCAGCAAAAGAACTACATGGTCTGTAATGCCAACAGAAATAAATATATATGTATTCTGAAATCAAAATTAAGACTGTTCCAGTTAAATACAATTTAGCTTCTATTGTTTTACCTTAAATCAGTTGTAGATAGATTATAGTCATCTAATAATCAAATTTTAAATGAGTTTAATTAGATTGAAATTATGGAGAAGCATTACTAAATAAACAGTTGTGTTAATTTTTTTTCATAAGGTTTTTAACATGAACTATGGCTTCCTTTTTCAAAAGTATTGCTTAATTAAACTTTTTAATCAGTTTTACCCCTAGATGAAAAAACTGTTCATATCTCTGTAATAAAATTTATTAACTATAAATAAACTTAATTGTGGATGACTAGATTAAGAATGAAAATACTTATTATTTTTCAGTTGCAAAATTTAAAAAAAAAAAAAAAAAAAAAAAAAAAAAGAATTGCGCAAAATATTTGGATTGAAGAGAGACGATTAAATCAAAGATTTCTGATGCCTATACAATGCTGATTGTGTGAACATCATTAAAAAAAAAGTTGAGGAGATACCTTTGCTGCAAATAAAAACGGCCTGTAAAATTCTTTAGTGATTATTATAGGATAGGATTATTAGTGAATGAAACCCTTAATAATCGCTGTTCCGAGAGGTAAACTGAAGCGAAAGCGGTAGCATTGCATTAAGGCTGATTTTGCAGAACTTGCAATGTTGAGATGGCTAAGGTTTGAACCACAGTCAATGGATGAAAATACGTGAAGAGCGACTGGTGATATCGGTACCAAACCTTCAGGTTAGCTAAGCAATATATGTATTTTTTTTTTCTTTTACCAGTCCAATCCATGAAGGGTCTTAGGTTCAGTACTTAGTAAAGAAATACTGTTTCAAGGCCACCGATTGTGCAGGAAGGTGATGGGGGCGAGATCACAATTAACCACAAGGTTTTTCATTTAAAATATTATTATTAGTTGAGAGAAATATTGCTCACGTTGATACAACAGGTTCCATGAATATAGTCCGTGGTACAGACCTCTTTTTATCAAATTATTAACATACGCCTGAAACTTCATAAATAGCTTCATCTCATAACCTACAAATATTTTATTTACGAAAATTCTTAGAATTAGAGCGTTTTCAATCTGGAGGGGAGCAAACTTTGTATAATTAATTAGGTACAAACAACTGGTAAATACCCATTTGTTTTTCCCCTGTATCGTAAGATAATTTGAGCACAAAATCAAGAAAAAAAGGTGGCCTTCAAAAATATTGCGTCGTTTGTTGTGTGATAAAATTATCGTACGATCCAAGTGTAAAGCAAATGGGTATTCAGAAGTTTTTAGTACCTAATTAAATAGACAAAGTTCGTCCCCTTGTAGATTGCAAACGCCCCAATTCTAAGAATTTTCGTAAATAAAATAATTGTAGGTTACAATGAGATGAAGCTATTTACGAAGTTGTAGGGGAATGTTAATAATTTGATAAAAATGGATCAGTACCAAGGGCTAATATGAACTGGTCCGCCATCGGAAACTTGAGTTAAAGAACATCATATTGGATAGGGAACTTTAAAGGAGCACAATTCCTAAAATTCAGAATATTTTTCTTTTTATGTAAAAGGCATATGTCTTAGTCCTTCTCCTGTTCTGTAATCCTCTCTTTAATCTTTTTGAAAGAAAGATCTTACAACTCCTTTTGCAAAGCTACCCTTCTTTTGAAATTTTACTCATGAAATACCCATCATCTCCGGGAACTTTATTATTCTTTATTTTTCGAATGTCCAGAAATCATCTTCCATTTGGCCCGTCTTATCTTATATTGCTCCTAGGTTGAGTTCTTGTTTGCAATCAATCTACCTAATAAATCATATTTTTTCCGTTTGAAAGGACCTATATCAATTTTTCTAAGATTAATCCTTTCACATAAGACGGTATGAATACATAAGCTCCATAAATTCTCAATATTGATTCTTTTCCAAGCTACTTTTTCCTCCCTATATTATCTACTCTCTATCCTTCTTTTATTCCGACAATCCCATGTTGCTTTTACAGTACATATTTTTTGGAATTGTGCAAGGATATACTACATTTTTCCTCCTGATCGCTTAAGTGTATTATTTCAAACAACAAGGATCTTTGGAGGCATATTTTCAATCTTAAAATACGGACTGGTGGGCATAGGTTGGAGATCCCTGATTCAAAGGATTCGGAGTACTCATTCACAAGTGCATACCGCCGGCTCTTGGAGCTTAGCGGAATAATATCTCTGTTGAAACCTTGGTTCTCTCATTCCCTTTTCTTTAGATTTTAGTTTATCTTGAAAATAATTCTTTATGAGAGTTCTTATATTGTTGTTTTTAAATTATATCGTTACGTTACATGAGGAAAATAATACGAAAGTGTTTTAAATATCGATCACTGGATTGCTTGGGAACGGGCTATTTTATTTTCGAAATTCGAATAAGAAGCTTTTTATTTGCTACCTCTGTGGCTTAAAAAGTGACAATAATTTATATTAAACCTATTTAGAGGATATTCGTTAATTTTTAATAGTCATGGGTTATGCACTTGTGAAGCAGTACTTCGAATCCTAGAGGTACCTGGCAAGAGCTTTTCATTCGAATTCAAAAGATAAATTATGTCCAAAAAGTCAGTTAGATACGATGTTTTCAAGTGAGGTCACAAATTTTCATGTTATAGTTATCTTGTTCACTTATTCGTTGTTGGTTCTAGAAGTCGATTATAATTTACAAGACATAAATCGATATTGTATGTTTATTCCGTAATAAGAGGTTGATTATTTTGATAAGTTGAATCTATTGTTAGGGGTATGAGACAGTCTATTAAGTCCGGTTGCTTTGATTGAAATGTGTTGACTTTTCTTTCGTAATCAGATTTCGTAATTTTAATTATTAATAATAATGATTAGTTTGTTGGATTATTGAAGATTTATTAAAATGGATGATTTGTATTCTCCTTATGTAAGTTTCAATTTACTGTTTTGTCTGTAATTATTAAGTTTTATCATTTGTTAGGCATTTTTTTGTATTAAAACATTTTCATAATTGTAAATATGATTCATTATTTAATGTTCGAATTGGAATCTTGCATGAACTTTGATGTTTAAGTTACAGGAAGAAGTGTTTAGACATTATTTTAAAGAAATTTTGGGTAAATATTAGCAAATTTACTTATGTAATCTTGGCTCTAACCATATCTCTAACTATTTCAGACTGCCCTCCTTTATATTTTCAACCTCATTATTGGGACTGGAGCTTTGACTCTTCCCAAAGCATTTCATGAAGCAGGATGGCTGTTCAGTACAGTTATGATAACTTTCATTGCTCTTGTGAGGTTTGTATTTTTCATTAGTATTTTAAATTTTGCTTGTTACAGAACAGGACAATACATCACAATTGCTTGTTGTTTCACTTTGATGGGTGGCTCAATCTTATGATCATACCATAAATTTAATTCAGAGAACGGCCAAGTATTGAAAGTGTTTTCATTGTATAGTCTCTCTTTTTTTAGATCACAATTTACATGCTCTGATGATGACCCACATGTTTGATTGAAATGTCGGCAACAATAAAAAATTACTGCTTTCTGATTATTTATCTCCTGTGATATGTAGTCAAATTGACTAACTTCCTTCAATATGGTACTTATCCATACATGTCTGAAAAAAATAGTAATCATAATTCAAGTTAATGTGTAATTTTCTTTTGCACATTTTTTATTGGACTGAATTTTCTTTTAAATGTGGTCTGGAAAAAAAGGAACTTAATAAACCCTTCATTATCTTTTGTATCACTGAAGAATTGTTCGGTAGAGTTAATCTTTATTTATTTGATGATCTTTTTCTATTTTTATGACTATTTTTCCAATAATTCTTCTTTTCTTTTTCGAAATTTTGTTTATCTTTGGTTTCTAATTTTTAAATCATTTAGCAATTTTACTTACATTACCATTTCCCCATTCATTAACATTAATTAATTAGTTTTTTTCTTTTAACCATAAACAATTGAATTATGTGAACAGACTATGCACTAATTTTAGATTTTAATTATTTATAATTATTGAATAAAGCTCAATTAAGTGCATATAAATATTTAATGGGTGATATGAAAAGGAGAAAAGAAGAGAAACTTTGATTTTGAAAAATTAGGAGATAAGAATACTAGTAGCAGGTTTACATACACATACATATATACATATATTATTATTTTATTTATTATTTACCTTAATGGTGGACTACAGTACAACAAATACTCCTACCGAGGCGAGTTAGGATCGACCAACTTGGAGGGTTGTACTTAAACAAAAGTAAAAACAATGTTCAAAATTTACCTGGGTTACCAACAAATTTCAAAATTCTTGCAAATCAATTATCATTGATAATGCAATAGGTGAACTAAATGAAAAGTTTTCAGAAAATGTAAACATAATGGTATTAAAAGTTTTTAGAGACTGAGCCATGTTTTCTTTCTTTTGTCTGTTCTCCACTCTCTGACCTATGATTCTCCAGACATGCTCCATAATGCGGTCCATCTAATCTAAGGTACAGTCTTATAAATCTGGTGGTATGAATGGTCTCACTCATTACATTTTTGGGGACTTCATCCTCTTACATTTGAGGTACTAGCCCATTCCACCACAATCTTCCCAGTCTTATACGTTTCACTATATCAGGTACACCAAGGAGGTTATATATTTCTTGATTACACCTTTTAATTCTGCTAGATCCATTCCATATATGTGCTGTAGAATTCTTATTTCAAAAGCCTTTAAACTTTGTTCATCTGACCTCTAATTATCCATGGCTCGGAGTTGTACATCAGAACTGGACTAATTCTTTTACTTAGCTGCAATTTTTTTATTCTTGACAGATAATTAGTTCTTATATGTCTTCCTAGCCCAACGTAACATTGGTTATGAATAACTTTTCTGCTCTCAATTCCTGTTCATTGTTCACAGTTATCAGAGACCCGAGGTAGACAAATTCATCCACTTGTTCAAACTTCGATAAACCAAACGTCCTTTACTTGATGTTTATTGTATTTTCACGTACCAGCACGTATTTTCCTCCAGTTCTAGACTAAGTGAGACATCACATACTGTTGCCTGGGGTCATTCGCACATCTAAGAATCTGAATCATTTTATTAAGCATTGTGCCTGCTGTCTAGATCTGTGCATCCCACATCGATTTTTTAAAAATAATGTTGGGGAGCAGATATGCTAGTGCATATCCCTGTCTCTCACCATTTGTAAGGTTCTCCTTCGGTATTTCATCCTCTACACATGCTACATACATGGATTCCGTCGTATTCAACTGGACCAATTGGATCAATTTCTCTGAGGTTAGTTCTCGCTTCGTAGCAATGTTCACGTAGTTCATTGTCATAGATAGCCTTGATTTCCACTCACAGATCATGTGTAGGAGTGCAGTATTCTCTGTTACTTTCCAGGACAACATTGAGTAAGAAGATTCGATTGGTGTACAATAGGCCTACATGACCGCAATGTACTCATGCCACTTAAAAAAAAAAAAAAAAAAAAAAAGAGATCCGATCCCATGTTAATTTACCTTTGCGGAATGTCTTTTTTATTGAGATCTTTTCTTAATCATATAAATATTTAATTTTTGTATTTCAGTTACATAACTGCTACATTCGTTATCGAAGCAATGGCTATTTGCAATGCACTTATACAGTGGGAAAAGTTGGAAAAGATGAAGAGGGTCAGTCGCTATCTAAGATTGGTAATATTTAATGCTTTTGTTTCAATTATATTTATTAATATATTTAGATTTAATTGTCGATATACTGCTATATTTGTTTGTTGAAGGCAGCGGAAACTGTTGAAGAAAGTACAGATGATGATATGTCCGATACAGAAGATTCACTAATGCTACCTGCAGGTAAATCACTCCTTAATAATCTTTTCTTTTTTCTAATGATATATATTTCAACTGCAATTGATTGGTCTGAGGGCAAACTCATGCAGCGCCAAGTTGAAACACATTTTGTGTTTTACCTTAAACTTCCAATATTATCTATAAAATATTCACAAATATATACATTTATTGACAGATGAAATTGTAATATTATAATTTATTTATATGTTGGTAAATATTCTATAAGTTATGTCAGAGAGTTAGAAAAAATTGAAATATTAGTTTCAACTTAGTGTTGCACATATTTTCTCAGATCCCCAGCTAATTGTGGTCGATCTAAAGATATATTTATAAAAAAATCATAAACCAGTTTGAACTAGCATTTACTTTTCAGTAGTTCTGGAACACTGCTTAAACACACTTGCCTTCTGCAGAAAATGAGGCCTTAAGAGCTAGATATAAAAATGATTCTATACTTTTTTTTTCTTCTTTTTTTACCTTGGGTATGTTCATATGGTTTACAAATCTTAAGAAACTGGTTTCTCTTCAAGAGTAGACTTTATGAGAATAAATATATATTTTCATGAATCTGTCATTGATTCTGAATTAAAAATTAACTTCTACATTTTTTTCAGCTTACATTGATAACTATCCAAGTGAACCTAAGAGGCTTTTTACTTTGGATATAAAATGTGAATTGGTAAGCATATTATATGTTAATTCATATTAAAATTTTATTGTTATTGTTTTATTCAATTATTGAAGGAAGTTAATTGACTGTTCTACATACACTGACAGGCAAAAAATTCCACCCACTTGATTTTTTCATGTTTTCATCTAAAAATATTTCTGCTTTGGATTGGTCTATTGTTTTTAATGAATCTTTTTGTTTGTTTTCAATTAGAAATGTTAATATAGAGGACAATAACCCTTAATCCTTAATTCAATGAAATGATTCTAGATTCCGATGTTTACTTTCTATGGAATCAAAATGTTTATTCAGTATCATTAGTTCAGTGCCGTTTCTTGCAGCACATTTCTTAGTCTCCGGCTTTTAATTTTTTCAATATTAAGTTTAAAAATGCCTCTTAGTGCTGAGGATGTTGCGCGTGGTGTGGCACTTTCGATGATGGACGTTCCATTAGATATGCAGCTAATGCCATCGGAGTTCCATATGAAACTTTACGAGACGCCGTCAGGCGTTTTCGGGAAACTGGTTCTTACAGTAGAAGGCCCCGTTCTGGACGCCCTAGGGTAACAGAACAACGGGATGACCAGTTTTTGATTTTGAGAATTTTACAAAACTGGCACCTTACCGTTGTTCAAGCGATTCATCAGCTCGAAGAAGTTCAAGGTGTGCAAATTTCTGAACGTACCGCTCGGAGAAGATTAAATGAGTATGGATTAATGGCTTTTCGTCCAGTAAGAGGACCAGAGTTGACCAGAACTCACAGAGTAACACGGCTGGCTTTTGCTCGAGAACACAGCTATTTGACTATGGACGAATGGAGTGTTGTACTTTTACAGGTGAGTCAAGATTCACTCTTCGATCTCCAGACGGGCGTGAAAGGGTGTGGAGAAGAAGAAACGAAAGATATGCAGCCTGTAATTTTTCCCAGAGCCAACCTTTCCAACGTGGTTCCTTAATGGTGTGGGCTGGGATTTCAATGGAGCGCCGCACAGTATTGGTTGTTGTTCGTTGAGGGTCTTTGACGGCCATTCGCTATGTAGATGAGATTTTGGAACCTCATGTGTTGCCTATCCTCAACGAAATCGGCGATCGTTCTATTCTAATGTACGATAATGCACGCCCACATGTCGCCTGCATAGTGCAGATGGTCCTTCAACAGAACAGTATTGAGGTTTTAGCACGTTCTCCAGATTTGAACCCCATTGAGCATTTATGGGATAACCTCGGAAGACGAATAAGAGCGTGTGCAACACTTCCTGATACACTGCAGGTCCTTGAAAGGGCTCTTCGGGAGGAATGGGCTATCCTCCAGCAAAGGGACATTTCCCGACTGGTGGAAAGTATGCCGAGGCGTCTTCAAGAAATAGTGAAGGCAAGAGAAGGAAACACGCTACTAAACGATGATGCTAAACGAATTAATTTCTTTTAGAATAATAATGGTTCATTTTTCAATTTTTTTTTCTCTTATCTTTCTTACCCAATCACATTTTGATTATTAAAGGTAAAAAAGTATTATCTACAAATACCATATATTATATACAAATACAACTTTTTTTACAAGTGGGTGGAATTTTTTGCCTGTCAGTGTATCATGGGTGATAAATATTCAGGATGCAGTCATTATAATGTTTTTATCAGTGCCGACTTTTCAACCCAAACATGTGGGTCATCATCACGGCGTCAAGTACTGTGTACTTGAATATCTTCAGTGCTCAAACCATGCCTTGATGACCCACATGTTTGGGTTGAAACGTCGGCACTAATAAAAACCTTATAATGACTTTGTCCTGAATATTTATCACTCATGTTTTATTCAATGTTAGTAATTGCATGAGACAATTACGAAATAGCTACCCTCCATTTATTAATGTTATAATTAAAGGTATGTTATCACCACAATCAAACACCCAGAAATATCAGAGAAGTTTAATTTAACATAATTGTAGTATTTTAATTATTGAGCATTAATTAATTTATATTTCTTCCTTTCAGAGTGAAATGGCTACAACTCTGTTCAGTAGAACTGGCCAGTTTTCATTTTATTTGTGTATTTGCCTTTATCTTTATGGAGATCTTACTATTTATTCTGCTGCGATTGGAAAGACATTAGTTGATCTATCGTGGTAAGTAATTTATTATAATTCAAACCACAATTTTCATTTGCCTCTCTTATTAGCCTGAATTGTGATATTTATATGTTATTTTACAATTAATTCCCTTTAAGTAAATGCTTTACCTTAAAGATGGATGGAAATTCTTATCGGTTTGCTGATAATCTATTTATAACTTAATTATACTTAGCAGTAGTTTCTCTTGAAATACATTGGGCAACAATGAAAATGTTCAGGGCTCAAAAATAGTTCATTCATATGTATTTCCATCGACTGAATTAAAAAAAATGCTTTGGAGATAAAGTTATATTTCATTTTTTTAGTCATTTTCAATTTGTGGGATTTTTTTTTCAAGGGGGGGGGGATTGGTACATCTGTGAAATAACAAAACACAAATGCTCGTTCATTCGTTTGTTTGTTGACAGGCTAGCTAGAAATTGCATATTTAAGGTTTTTATATGCTAGGGATGTTACAGCTACTTTTTCGTCAACATCAGCTTACCATAAGGGGTACTTAATATAATGGACTAAACACATATTTGCGGTTTTCTCGAAAACGGCTCTAACGATTTTGATTAAATTCATCATATAAATGTAAAATTAAGCAGTTTTAAATAAAATGTAGTTTTTATTCGGATTGATGTTCTCTAACAGGGCTTAAATGGCTAATTTTCAATATTAGCTTCCACTAAAGTACCTTTAATTTTTTTTATTTGAAACAAATGATCAATTGTTTCAAATAAAAAATCTCTAATATAAAAGATAGTTAAATATAAAATATGAAAGAATTTGATAGTTAACTAAAGGAGAAATAAAAGATCACAATGGAGAATAGTAATTGAGGAACCCAAGGAATACGAGTGCACCCGAGCTCACCTGAAAGATTAGAACACGCTTCCATACTTCCTTAACATGAGCTTAATATAATAAGGACTCTGACAATATTATGTAAATATGTATATATATATATATATATATATATATATATATATATATATATGTATATATATATATATATATATATATATTTACATAATATTGTCAGAGTCCTTATTATATTAAGCTCATGTTAAGGAAGTATGGAAGCGTGTTCTAATCTTTCAGGTGAGCTCGGGTGCACTCGTATTCCTTGGGTTCCTCCCATATATATATATATGGATTGATATATATGCTTTGTTGGATTGACTTTGTGTGTTTAATATTTAATTTTCCGATTTAATTTTTGTGTGTTTATTCTTTGTGTTTTTTTTTTTTTGTTAATGTATATAAATTTGAACTAAAAATGTAAATCATGTGGAACTAGAAAAAAAAAACAATTGTAAACAAATGTAATTCATGTAGTATGTCTTTAAGGCATGGAGCATGAAGGAAAATCAAATAAACGATCCTTGTGTGGGGTTACCACGTAGGGAAAAAAAAAAAAAAAAAAAAAAAAAAAAATATATATATATATATATATATATATTTTAACGTTCCCTTTGTCAACATAAATCAAAACAACGAGTTTACTTTTTCAATATATTATTATTTTACACATATAACATTATCTCAGGTTGGGTTCTGGCAACTGAACACTCATTCAACATTTAATAAATACAATGTACACTAATTAGTAAATACAAATAAAGAAACGAGATACATACATTAAGAAATTATACATATTGTTTTCAAAAACCTTGATTATCCCAGTCTAAACTTTGTGGCTGTTTCTATTTTCTCAAGTTGCTGGCTAGTACCTTCTCTCTTGACAGCTTGTCACATTTTCTCTCTTGGCCGCTAGCACCTTCCCTCTTGGCGGCCCGTCGCAGTCTCTCTCACATGAGCTTGCTTCCCCCACTTCTTCCCTGTAGTTCATGTTCTTGCCACTTTCGCGCCACTATTTATATACCATGTAATGTTGACATTACAATATACACATAATTTTACTTTCACTTCTCCTTTGACTGAAAATATAAGTATTGAATATTTAATAGTTGATCATTGCATTATAAAGGAAGGAGATGATCCGGGGTAGCGGTTATGAATAGGCTAAATAGAGGTAAATCTATTTTATTAAAAGCCAACGTTTTGACCCGACTTTGCAGGTCTTCTTCAGGAGGAAAACGGACAAGATACAAAAAGATAAAAAATTGTGGAAGTTACAAAATATTTAGACAAAAAATATAAACAATGTAAATAGGCTTATTAAAATTATAAACAGTAAGTACATTAAAATATGAACAGACTAAGCTAAGTAACAAGATCCTAAACGGAAGTAAATAGATGCTAACAATTGTTGTAGTGTAATATATAATAAATGCAAATATGAATATACTTCTACAGATCTAAAGGAGAGATTGAAAGAAAAGGAAAGAGAGAGAATATAATATGAAATAATAGACATAAAGGAATGTGGAGAAAGAAAACCAAAAAATTAAATAAAATTAGAGATTTACAGGTGTGTTCAGCTAGGACTTTCACTTATAACTGGAAAACCAGGGTAAGGGCAGGTATTGGAAAAGCTGACTTGTTTGGGTAATGGGGAAAAACCTGTCCATTGGGATGTTGGTAAAAAGGCTTTCGGCCTCTAGGGAAACAAGGATAAAGTTTTCAGAAATATGGAGATAAGATAACTCTTCTTTAAGGTGGAATGAATTATTAATGTCATAAGGATTATTGTGACTAAGTTAAGTTTTTGGAGAGAGGGTAAAAGGAATTTGCTGAGTTTAGCTGAGGGGACGTTAATATTGGAGATGATAGGGTGGAGGAGATTTCCAAGTTTTGTGAATTTTTGGGAGTCCATATAAGCAGGGTGCTAAGGAGTTGTAGCATATAAGGTTTTAGTAACTGGTACAGTTAATTTGTTTGGTCTCAAGTAAGTTTTTGATGTTTTGGTTAAATTTTAACATTAGTGTACGGGTTGGGTCGCGGGGGGAGGGTGCGTAAGTTGTTTGGTCTGAAAGTAGTTGGTGCATTTTCTGTGTGTATTCTGTCTTGTCCATAATAACGGTCGAATTTCCCTTTTCAACCTTATTAATAATGAGGTGGTCATTTGTTTTCAGGAAAGAGCGGGTTGAGGATAAATCTTTAAAGAATAGGGGGGATAAAGGGGACGAACGGGATGGAGGGTGTTGGGGTTGGTTAGAAATCATGTTACTGATCCGAATGCGGGATAATTCTTTCTACTCTTCGTTAGCTCCGAAACGGATATCTCTATATATGCCTACTATATCTGTAATTAGGCTAGGGATGAGATGGGAGCATTTGGAAGAGGGATAAGAAAAATTGGGGCCTAAACATAAAATATTGACTACCTGAGGGGGTATATTGGTGGAGGAAATATTGCAAGTATAATTATTATAGAAGTATAAGTATTTTCTGCTAAGTGAGTGATAAGTGAAAGTTTTGTGATGCGCGCGCCACACGAAATTTTTTTAGTACAAAATTCGTAAAAATGCCACGAAAATGTGTAAATATGGTGAATAATTTTTGTTATATTTGTGGTGAAATAACATTTTCCTCACAGAAACGCAATCTGACGCCTCTAGTAAAGAATATAAAACGTTATCAGCATTATTTCAGTATGAAAGTAGAGGTCCAGGATAAGTCTTGGGTTCTAAATATGGAATGGATGAGAAAGAAGAAACGGTCTATGGCTTTTGCTGTGCCTATGGTTTGTTGGAGCCTCCAACCATACAGATGACTGCTATTTCTGCTTGACTCCACCTATAAAGGCAGGTTTGTCTACAAAGAAAAGAAGAACGGTGTAGTACCGAAATCTTTGATCTGCTATTCGGCCCATCCTGCATTCAGATAGTTTACCAGTTACTACTCCACCTGAAAATTGTGTGTTTGAAGTAGAAAATGAAGACAGTGTGGAACAAGATGAAGAAACAAACAAGCCTTCCACATCCCATGACCCTGATTTTGAGGGAAAAGATGATAAACTGCACAGACTGAGTCAAGCAGAATCATTAGAGATTTTGGCCTGTCATAGGAGAAGCCAGAAATTCTTCGGTCTTGACTACAACAATGGAATCTTCTTGAAAGTGATGTCAGAATCTCACAGTACATAAAACATCACAGGGAACTACTTCCCTTTTTTGAGAAGAAAAATGATCTTGTTGTTTGCTGCGAAATTAATGGCTTGATGAAATCTTTGAATTTGAACCATGATCCAACTGAATAGAGGCTATTCATAGACTCCTCCAACCTTAGTTTGAAAGCTGTGTTACTTCACAATGGCTGTAAGTATACTTTGGCATACTGTTGGTCATGAAGGAGAAATATGCAAATATGACAGCCCTCTTGGACTCACTCAGATATCATGAACACAAATGGAAAATCTGTGGTGATTTAAAATTACCATTACCAGGCTCTTAGGAATGTAACTGGGGTACACAAAACATTGCTGATTCTTATGTTCATGGGGCAGTAGGGATAGGAAATTGCATTATATTAAATCCACTGTACAGGCCCCTTTTTATCAAATTATTAACATCCATCTATAACTTTATGAATGACATTTTATTGTAACCTACAACTTTTTTATCTATGACGATTCTCAGAAATAGGACATCTTCAAGCTGGAGATAGGTAAACTTTGTCTATTTAATAAGGTACTAAAAACTCATGAACACCCATTTGTTTTCCCACTCATCATCATGAGATCAATTGTTCACAAAATTGAGAAAAAAGTTGGCCTACAAAAATATTGGACCGTTTGGTGTGTTCTCCGCCCCACACGCAGCCTTAAGGCTTCGATGATTTTGTTAAGTTTTTATAAGTGAAATAATAAATAGAAAACCAAATTTTAATTGAAGTAATTTGTAGAATTTATTACATGGCATACATTTTTTAAGTCCCTCTGAATAATCAAATTATTTCTTATTGCTTGTTTAACATAATAATTATAGGTTGTGGTTCTATCATCTTAATGTTATACTTGATACACAAATTTTTAGAAATAAATTATTTATAATTGCACGTTTTTAATTTTTATAAAATTGGTGCTTATTAGATGGTCCCATACTAATTTAATTGAATTCCATTCAATATTTTGATTATTGGTGCTCAAATGTATTACCCTCGACAACCATATATTTTTAAATAGTATGTATGCCCCATTTATTTCATTCTCAAACAACAAATCATTAATCTTGAAATATTAGTATTTACCTTACATACCTACTAGAATTGTCGGTAAAGCAAGATCCAACTTTGCAAAATTAGTTTTATTTCTAACCACATTTTTGATTATCTCCCAAATTTATTTCATAAGCCATTTTCACTTTTCTATAATTGTTTTTACTTACTGAAAAAAAGTTTTACTTTTTATTTTTCAGTACCATTAAAGAAAATGTAACTGATTCGGATGCTTGTTGGGAAGGTTACAGTTTCACAAGAAGAGTGATGTATCAAATGTATCTTGTAAGGAAATATCTATACCTAACTCATTTTTTATTATTGGAATTTGATTATTTTACTATTGTCATTTTCTTTCTTCTTTTTTTTTTAGAGCTGCTTCTTGTTGGTGTTTGGACCTTTCGTGTTTTTTAATGTTCAAAAAACTAAATACCTACAATTTTTTACATCTGTAACTAGATGGCTGGGTATGATTATTATTTTAGTTTATTACATAATTGCTTGTTTAGTAAAGTGCTATATTTAATTCTTATCTTATTCTTGTAGCATTTACTCTTATGATCAGTTTGGCAATATCCCGTATCGTGGATCCAACGAAGCTTCATGGCTCTCCAGCTCTTGCAGTTCCCTCTGGTCTCCCTGCCCTTTTTGGCTCTTGTGTTTATTCATTTATGTGCCATCATTCCCTTCCTGGACTTATTACTCCCATGTCTGACAAATCCAAACTTAATACACATTTGGCCATTGATTATGTTTCCATTCTACTGTTTTATTTAACCCTTTCCTTAACAGCAGTATTTGCTTTTCCTGAACCTAAAGATTTATATACTCTTGATTTTGAACCTACTGGTTCAAAGTTGAGTATAGTATTTGGTATTTTTTTGACATCCTTTCCTGTCCTAACTCTCACAACATCATTTCCTATTATAGCAGTTACTCTTAGAAGCAACATCCAGGTAAATCAGTAATAATATTTACTAAAAATTATTGTTAGTTTTTGTCACCTTATTAAAAAAAAATATATATTACTTTAACATTGATCCTTGTAATGAAATTTAATGGATAATTATAGCTTTTAAATTATATTTGGAATTTACAATAGATTAGTTTAATTTGATTCTCTGCTGATACATTCTCAGAAAAAAGTATGATGATTTTTTCTTTAAAACTTTTGAAATTCAATTATTGTGGTGAAAGGAACTGGACTAGAGAACTAGTAGGAGAGAGAGTGGGAAGTTGATGGGTGTGTTTAAAGTAGAAAAGAGCCCAATAGTTTTTTGTAACACATTGTTCCAAGATATAAATATATCTTTATACGTAACACGATAGTTTTTTGCAGTGTAGATCCCTTTTCAGGCTCCCAGGAGCAATAGATGTTAATGAATAAAGTATTAACCAGAAGGGTATTTTAAGGAAAAGTGACGGATCATAGTCATATCTCCCCGAGAATTCAGGAAAAAAGTTATGAATGAAAAGAAACTTTATTTCCAAACAACTCAAAAAGTATACCTTGTTTCTTCTGATTGCACCCATGATTATTCAAAAGATTACTAAATTCCCTATAAAACAAAACAAAAATCATCGAAATCAGACCATTATCAGCAAAGATACAGGCTACAGTAATGTTTTGGGTTATTATTATTCGAATGCATGTGTTTGATTCGACTATGAAAAAAAAAGTATTTTCTCTATCTTATAATACATTATATTAACTTATTTCTATATTATATTGTCAATTGTTCACTAACATATACAATACGAAATATTGGCACAGGTCAACTAATATAGTTTACTATGAAATCAAAAAAAGTACATGTCAACTTAAATTAGGTAAAATTAAAACTTCAGAGCTAATATTTAATTTCTTTCAGTTTTATCTCAGATCCAAAGAAAATAACCATAGCAATTTCTTTAATTTTTATAAAACATTTGTATGTTTTAAATTTAAATACAGTGCTTAATTTTAATATACCTTGTTATAGGCAATGTTTAGTTTTTGTGAATGGTGGTTTCTTCGTGCACTTTTTGTGCCTCTTCTCACAGTTATTCCTCCAGTGCTTATTGCCATGACAACCGAAAATATGGAAACATTAGTAAGTTTTTTTATTAAGTAATCAGTTTTTCAATCATTATTTTCATGTTGTCCTAAGTTAAATGTTACTTACAGCCTTACATATTTACAAATTTATAGCATCATATTTTATTTATCTTTTTTTTTTTACAGGTAGGAGTAACTGGTTCTTATGCAGGTGTCATTATTCAGTACATTATTCCTGCTTCCTTGATAATAGTTGGGCGAAAATCCATACCTGAAGCCTTGTCCAACCAACAGCTTCAGTACAAATCACCTTTTCAATCTACTGTGTGGCCATTTTTGGTCATGCTATGGGCTTTCATTACTGTTATTCTAGTTACTTTTGATATTATACATGATAATTCTGTTAAATCATTCCATACATAAGAATTTCATGTCGATGACTACTGATCTACCTTAAAATATTTTTTAAGCAGTTATCATCCTTTATAGTTTGTTTTGTAAATTTCTATTACTTTTAAAAATAGTATGAATATAGAACTGAATTCCAGAGAGAGGAAGAGACTGTTGGCTATTCTAAGTAAAATAACATAGAAAAATTCCTATATGAAATTTCTTTAATTTTAGCTTTGTGAGAAGCTATTTTGTTGATTGTTTTAATACCTAATAATATTATTTTATTATTTATTACTATATATGATGTGTCAATTATGATTTAAGTTTAATCTTATATTAAGAATGTTTGTATCTTCAATTTACTTGTTATTCAATGTTATGATTTTCTATTAAAACTATTACGTCTAGTCATGAGATATATTAAAATAAATAATGTACACAGTTGTTTTTATAATATGAATCAATATTTAAAAGTCTTTCATTATTTTATCACTCGACTTTATAAAAAATATTGTTATGCTAAACATAAGCCATAGAACATTGGAATTTAATTTTTTTTCAATGTCTTCTGTTGGACAATAATGTTTTCTTATTTTATCTCTTTTGATTTAATATTTAAATAGTAGTTAACTTACTATAATTCTCTTTATTGTTCCATTATATATGTATTTAATATTTTTAATTTATCGATATTTTAATATCATTGTTATTTATAAATATTTCCACGTATCAAATGTTTAAATATAAATAAAATTTTATTTTTTCTAATAATATGTATGTCAGAAGAAATAACCCTTTTTTCAAATTACAACTATATTTTTTCATTTAATTGGGTTTATCTTAATTTGTCTTACTCACCTTTGTTTGCTTTTACTATTACCGAGGAATCAAACCATTACTTAAGCATTAGCCAAAATATTATTGCTATACATGTTCTAGACATTAATGTTTTTTTTATGTGCAGCTTTCTAGTGATTTTTAAATTTAACTCAATTTCTATTTATATATATCAGACCACACAAATTCACATTAAAAGGAATTCAAAGGTGCCCAGTACCTCCCCTCCCCTTGGGGTAATGGTGCATACCTTTATCCCTGACAAATTTATTGCTTTCTTCTTGAAAAAAAGTACAAATGAAAGAGAATAGTAAAAATTGTGGTTTAGCCTTCCTATGTTCCTTCATTAAAAAAGTTCTTTTCAATTGAAACCTCAGAAAAATATGGTACCCTCCCAAAATCAATAACCCATAAATATTTGTTCATCACCTATCCCCTCAAAAGTTCATAACTCCATAAAAAAGAAAGATGTGCCTACCTCCAAAATTTTCATGGCACAACTTATGCCATACAACTCCAATTCCTTTCTGGGCACTCCTAAAGGAACTTCATTTTCTCTGAGCTATCATATAGCGTTTTCAATGGTGCTAAATAAAACTCTTTGAGCTCATGTTCAAAATATTATAATATTGATCTTACTAGGAAGACTTGGTCACTTGGTAAGCTATTCGATTTGAATAAGTGATCAAAACCCATGTTAGTTAGATCTTAATAGTATTTTATTTATCCATGATTTTTGAAACAAAGAACCTGATGACTGTGCAGCAACATTAGCTTATCAATGTAAGTATAGGTATTTAGGTAATGCGTACTAATTTGACACTAATAATTTACCAAATATTTCTTGAAGAAAATCGAAGTAGGTTATTAGCCCTGGAGCCAGGGCCCAAAAATCGATCTCATTGCAGATGAAGGTTTGATTGTAAATTTCGAGAGTATATGTTATCCTGAGTTAAAAGAACTTAGCCGTTCCAAGCCCCTGCTTTCAAATATGACAGCTGATTTAAAGAATATTAGGCCAGTAATTGGATGATCTAAATGGGAAATCCATCGCGAAAAATGTGAGAAAAGTTTTTATTTTTTTAACTTGTATATATGGGTTTAGACATGTAAAAAAGCAAATTTCTCCAAGAAAAAACTTTTTACACCCAAAAAAGTCAGATTTTTTTGGTTTTTCAACTATAACTCCTAAACGCGTCAAAGCGAAAAATGTTTTATTTAACAAATTAAAGAACGTTGAATTGTGGGTCAACGAGTAGTTAAACTTAATAATTTGATTATGTGGTAAGGTATAAAACCACGGTCAACCAACGCTGATATTAACCAAATTTGTCAAAAGCTGAGACAAATTACTATAAATAGCCCTGTAACTTGGAAATGAGGTCCCTAAGAGGAAAAACCCATAGAATCAAAGTTGTAGAGCATTATATTTTGCGTCAACTGAGTACTGACATTTTTGTTGTAGGGCAATTATATATCTCGAATTGGGATTCCTTATTCCTTTATAGAATTTAGTATCTTTCCACACATCGTTTACCTAAATCCTTTACTGCTGAGAGATGGAAAAGAGGCTTATACTGTATGTAACAGACTCTAAACAAAAATAACTCAGTAGAATAGACATCCATACTGTAAACATATCGAAAATCACGTTTACCTTCATTATAAATTTCTAACCATCAGGAGACTACAGATTTTATTCCGACTACATTTAATTAGTTGGAACTCACGGGACGCAGAATTTGATGCTCTACAACTCTTAGAGGACTCATTTCCAAGTTACAGAGCCATTTATTATAATTTGTCTCTTTTGTTGACAAATTTGGTAAAAATCAGCTTTGATTAACGGTGGTTTTATACCTTACCACTTAACCAAATTATTAAGTTTATGTACTCGTTGGACGCAAAATTTAACGTTCTTTAATTTATTAAATAGTAGATTTTTTGTTTTGATGCATCGTTTAGGAGTTATGGGTGAAAAAAAATGTCGACAAATTCCGACTTATTTGGCTGTAAAAAGTTTTCTCTTGGTGGCAATTTCGTTTTTTACAAGTCTAAACCCATGTATACAAGTTAAAAAAATAAAAACTTTTCTCACATTTTTCGTAATGGATTTCCCGTTTCGATCCTCAAATTACTGGTCTAATATTCTTAAAATCAGCCATCATTTTTGAAAGCAGCTGCTCTGGAACGGCAGACAAGGTATTTTTAAATCAGAATACACTTTCGTAATTTACAATTAAACCTTCGCCTGCGATGAGGTCCTTTTTTGGGCACTGAATCCAGGGATATATTTAGTAAAGACGTCTGCCATGCCATGAAAGCACCAGAAATTAATATATAAGTATAGTACTAATTTTAGGTTTAAAAAAGAAGTATCAAGTTGAAGAAGACATGGTTTATATAAAAATGTCAAATATTCCACTGCCTTGATCTTTAGAAATAACACCAACACTTTGAATAAAGTTATTAAAATATTCGTGATAATGAATAATTCTGAATAAAAAATTAAACAACTTATTAGTTTCAACATAAGATAGTTGCTTCAGAATGTGGTACCATGAAATTAGACAAAAAAATAGTCCAAAAAATGTTAAATCAGTCTTGATCTATTGATATAGGAAAACTATTTCTGGTAAATGGTCACATTAATCTATTGGAGTGCTGCTCTTATTGATTAGGATACATCAGATAGACCACTGTTACATACAGGCATTTGGAGCTGCCTCCAGCCCATTAACTGATCTTTATCCTGGGAAATGTGGACTTCTTCAGAGAAAGATAAATTATTTATAATTGATTTATGGATCAATTGTTTCCTTAGTTGTACTGTGTGTAACATTGAATCTCTGTTGCAAGTACTTTATCCTGACTTTTTACTGTTGGTAATGTAACATACAATAATACACAAATAAAGCCACGGCTAAAAGGAGGGGAAAGAAGGTTTTATGCCTCTCCCCCAATTTTATGAAATCCAAAATTTAGTTCTACATTTAGGAATTGTTGGAAAATTTTGTAACCCCCTCCTACAAACTGTAGTAGAGATAATCCTATGTACAAATTAAAGTATCGTTTGCTTATTGAATTTTCATGTCCTTGAGGGCTTTTACTACTAAATCAGGAAAGCCATATTGTGATATTTATGAGAATATATTTGAATTATTTAAAATAAAATAGATGAAAAGTAGCCGAGATGAAAGTGGTGAAAAGTAGTTAGCACTATTCTTAATCTTAATGACAGTAAAATCAATGGAATTTCTAAGATATTATTGTACAAGAGTTAAGAGAATTAAGATACAATTTTGTTTTTTCATACGATACGATTTCATAAGATACGATAAATCGATTGTCATTGTTTTCGATTGATAGAAGGTTGCAGTTAGGGTTCATTATCTACAACATAAGATTGATAATTTAACAATTTACTTGTTTGACTCCACAATTTTTTCGATTTGGAGTACATTTTAAACGTAGTAGTCACTCTCTTCGTTCTTTCTAGAAGGCCGAGAGATCTAATGATACCTTTTTATAAGCGTTAATTAATTAGCTGATTGATGTATCAGACTTACATTCTCTGGCTAATATTAACTTAAATATTCTATGAAATTCATCTTTAAATTGGTAAAATATGTCCTACAAGTTCTATTTAAATAAAATGCTTTAATGCATGATTTATATTACTGTTGATTAATGTAAACCTATTTAGTATTTCACTGTGCATCTAGTAAAGAAACTTTATTAGGATTTGTATATTATGTTATTTGTTTTAAATCTACTTATTAATTTCAAGAAATTACATTTTTATTTATTGATTATTCTATCCTGTCAGATGATTAAGCTTGAATTTAATGGGTTTATAAAATAACAAAATATATATATTTTTTACTGTGATTTAAGTCCTCTATTTGTGCTGTTCAAACTGATTTTTTTTTTTTATTCATTGGTAATTTTACTATCATTAAGTCAGTTCATAGTTAAAATTAGTATAACCATTTTTCTACTGTTCATCTAGCGCAGTAATTTTTTTTTATCGCTTTTGTTCATTGATTGCCTCTTTACTATGTAAGTTGTCAGACAAACTGAAAGATTTATTATTGATATTCAGATTAGCAAGTTTCATTTGCATTACTTAGCTATGATTTAATGTATTTCCTATTACTCTATATGAGTTGGTTTTTTTTATCCTGATATTTAACTCTTTTCCTAGTACTGATTCCATCTTTTTAAAATTTTTGATAGTATGCACTTCTCTGAATTATGAATTAATTTATTTATAATCCTTTTGCTGGAGTATATTTTGTATAGGAGGATATATTAGTTAATTTTTAGATTATTTTATAATCCTCATAGTCTATTAAATAATAAGGCCTTAAATGAAATGCTATTTGAAGATAAATAGATAGATAATTTTATAACAGAATATAAGCAAATTGTGTTGCCAATGACCCTGCAGGGTAGAGGCAACAATAAACATAATAAATATTTGGAGATGCTCCAAAACAAATTGATATTAACAAATTAATATATTGATATTCATATTGTTTTTTTGTTTCCATAGAATCATACTTACTTTTTTTATATGGATTATGAGTATTAAAACATTCAATATATTATTGTTTTAATAAAACATTTGTCTTCTATTTAAAGCAGTTTTTGTTTACCTTCATTATTGAGTAGGATCAAAATATTTTTTAAATTGATTTTTTATTATTAATGGTTGTATTTAAATAAATCACAATAACAGATCATTTGTGTTTCTAATTATTCTCTATAAATACTACTCTGTGCACGTTTTTAGGGTGCCCATCCCATCTAAGGGTGATGACACATGCCGCCCTTCATCATGCAAGTTATTGCTCCCATTAATAAAGCCATCCCTTGCTTTCAAAAACAGTACAAGTGAAATACGAAAGTAGAACGAAACAGTACAAGTACAATTACCAAATTGGTAGTTTAAATATAATTACACTTAATGTTTTTTTTGGTCTTGTTATCTGATGCAATTCTTCCTACAAATTGAAACCAAACAAAAATATAGTACCTTCCTGAAATTTGTCACCCTGTAAGAATTTACACTCCTTAAAAATTGTAAATCCTGTGAAAATGTACCCTCCTCAAAAATATTTTACCCTGTACAAATGTAACCCCTCAAACATTTAACATTCATCCCTTTCTGGGGATACTTCTTCAAAAATTCAACGGTGCTGAGATTAATATAAAATAGTTTTATGGACTTATTAAAATGTTGTAATGTATACAACTTTATTAAGTAACCCTTTACCTCATAAATAATTAGTCCAAGAACAACATATAATTAAATTTATGAAATGTCCTCAAAGAGATTTGAGACATTTTGATCATACTCAGTATGATTAGGCACAGGTGGATACACGGGGGAGGCTTTCGGGCTGAAGCCCCCTTCCCCTTCCAAAAATGCTAAAATATAACCATGTTTTACAGAAAAAAATATTAAAAATTATCAATTACATTTAATAGGACATCAAGAACCATTTAAACACCATTTCATATAGGTAGTTAATTTATTTATTTTTGTTTTCGAATTAATTATCCTTATATGTATACGAAAAAAAAATCTTTCGGGCTGAAGCCTCTCCCAAAATTAAATTCTGGATCTGCTTGTGTGATTAGGGATATTGCATTTTTCATAATTTTATCAGTGCTTAAAATCTGCTGCTAATAAAATTATTCAAAAGCTTAAAGATAATTTATTTATTTGCTGTTTGTTTAATTCATTAAGTCTTATTATGATTGAAAACTTATAAAAAAATGTTTTCAAAATAAAATAAAAAAACTGAGCCCATTATTCTGTATTATTTTGAATGATAGAATGTATTATTTTCAATTTTAATAAATTTGTTCATTGCTATATTTCCTTGGAATATTAAATTATCTCGCCTGGAAGGGTAACCTATATGTTACTTTGAAATGAAAAAATAAATGCATTTTTTCTTTATTTAAAAACAGATTTTAGAGATAATACAACATAATATCTAAAAATTACATAGTAACACTTTTTTCTACTTTGCTGGAAGATATTCTTAATTATAATATGTTAATTATTCGTTGAAGAAATATCTTCCTAAATGGGAGCCTTTTGTTCTGTTCCGTGGTGTTAAAAACTGTTATTTGTGATTCTAATGAAAATTTACAAATAATCATTGTAGACTCAAACAAAATATCATTTAAAAGCACTTCGAGAAATAAAATTATCTATTGAAATTAATTTTTTTTATCATTTAGCAGATTTAACTATAATGTTTAAGTGCATCAATTTATAATTATTATATGTATTCTAATGAAACAGATAAATAAATTTTCTGCCATGAGCCAGGGTTCGAACTCGGGACCTTTGTATTGGATTGGATTTGTATTGGATTTATCTGTTTCATTGGCCGTGGGGCGACCTTGGGTTAGGAGTCCCTCCTGGGGCACACCCAGCCTCTATAAAGTGGGTACCCTTAATTAAGTAATTGGTTAAGGGGAAAAACCTGGCGGTTGAGCGTGATCTCGGTCAAATCACCTCCTTGCACAACCGTTGACCTAGAAACAGTGCTTTCCCTAAATATTACTGAACCCCAGACCCTTCATGGGTTGTAGTGGTACAGGTTTTTTTTTTTTTTTTATATGTATTCTAATAAAATATTGTCGCAGGAATATGGTCCGAGTTGTATCTGTTCATCATTTTGAAAGTCAAACAATTCAAACATGTGAAGATGCTTTGGCTGTTGCTGCTGCACCACCAGATAGGTTGGCATCCATATTTTAATTTTTATTTCAACTATTAATTTTGATCTTTCATATCCGACAATTTATATTGTTATATTATTTCAGGTTGTTGATTGCCTTTCCGCACCATGCAATTGAAGTAAGAGATTTAGCTTCTGTACCAAAGAAAGCATTCTTCTTCCCCACTGTTGATCAAGTTACCTACCTCTCATATTGTTCCACAGGTATCTGAAGAGACAAACCAGTGTTTTAAGTTGAATAAAAACATTATCATTATTGAAGATATCAAATTGAAAGATAAACATAAAATTACAAATATGTTGTTTTATTATAGAATAGCATTGAAACCAAGTATATGTTACCATTCCTCAAAGAACATTAGAAAAATACACATTTATATTACTAATCATGCCATGTATAAAAATAAAATAATAAATCAAAGAGGGAAACTATCTCATAAGCAAAAAATTTTGAATCATTTTAACAGTGCTTTCTTGAAAAATGAAAGTGAAAAACTGAGTGATAATTTATTTAAAACACGTAAGAACTTATATTTCCTATATCTAATGAATGAAAAGGTTGGGGAAATTATTATTAATTCAATTAATAATGACCTACTGGAAGGAAATAAATGTATAATTGAAGCCAATCCTGGTTTTGGTTTTATTACGAAACATTTAATTTCCTTGGACTGTCTAAAAATTAAAGTTTTTGAACCAGATTCCTATTTTAAGAATTACATGAAACAATATGAGTTACTTAACCCTGATAAATTAGATGTTTACAACAAGAACCTGGGTTACTTTTTCAGGTCTAGTTATAGAGAAAAAGAGCATCCACGGGTTAACATTCGAGAAGTTATAAACCCCATGGAATTGAAAGAGTGGCCAGATGAATGTTCAATAAAAATAATTGGGTCTTGCCCTAATGATATGTTTTTAAGGCAATACATTATGAATATAGTTTTACAAAAAGGCTTTTTTCACTTAGGTCGCCCCCAGCTATTTTTGCTATTAAATCCAAAAACGTATGCAACACTGAACCCTCAAAATAATATTATGAAAACTTTCCCAATCTTGTTCAACCTATTTTTTGATATACATTATGTTTTATCAGTTGATAAATGTGATTTCCTTCCGTGGTTTGATATTAAATTAACTAATTACTTTAAAAAATATATTATTTCTGATATGGATCAACTAATCTTGGTTAGGATAACTGGCAGAAAAGATTTATTTGAAAGAATCGGTGGTGCTCAAAATTTGAAATCGCTTTGGTTTTTCCTCACTCAGTTATGTACAGGCACTAATAATCGTGTCATTCCCAGAATAGAAAAATGGGTACCAGGCTATGGTTACAGACTTTTGTTGTCTGGTATTGATACATTTACTGAAGTTCATGATTTAGATCCTGAGAAAGTACTTGATTTATTTCTCACTTTCTCAAGCTGGCCAGAGATAAGCAATTCTTACTGCTCAGCTTTGGACTCATTTGTAGAAAAGAAAGTGGCTGGAAATTCATCAGATAATGAAGAAGAACTATCTCTGGAGGTAGATGAATCTGTTTCAGAGCTTGATATAGAAATAAAAGATGAGGAATCTTGAAAAAAAAAATCAATGAGCATTATCTTGACAAGGGTATTAAAATGAATTCATAAACTAATTTTACAAAATCTTTTTTGCCTTTTTTTTCAATGGATGCGAAAAGCCTAGCTGGAAGCTTATTTTGTTGGTGATACACTATTTTTTTTTTTTTATTCCTAGAAATTTAGTGTAACATTTGTTAAATGATTGCCATATTTGTATTATAATCATTGTACATTTTAATGATTGGAAACTTTAATTAAACTTAAAACATTAAAATTGTTTTAAATATAGAGTTAAAAAATTATGATTTATTTATATTTTTTGTTATGAACCTTGATATTCACTCGTTAACGCGATCGATTTTAGGTAATTGTGTAATGCTCTATGTGCTCTGGAAATGGTCTGATTTCTCAGCACTCTTCCCTTACCACCAGTTGGCAGAAGTGCCCACTCTTGATACTTGTCCTGAATAAATTAAAATAAATCTGACGTGTTCTTATTTCTGTCCTCCGTATTGATTTAGGCTCTTACTTTTTTCTCTGATATTTAATTATTTTATTATGGACTAGTAAATTATTATTTCATTACAATAACCTGGGGGAGGAGAGGAGATAGAAAAACTACGTAGTTAAGTTTTAAAAATAAGCTACCTTAAGCTAAATTTTCTGGATATCAATACTGGAATAACCAGTTTGTGAAGTTTTTTTTGTTGATCTGAATAAAAACATTTCTTTATTCAATGATTTAGCTATTAATTTAATTAGTCATTTCATGGCCGACATCACTATAATCATTGCAGCTTAAATATTTTTTTCATTCCCATTTAGCATTCTACCATCTATATGTTTATTTACATTTTGTGTTAAATTCTTTTTCTTGCAGATTTATAAGGAATTTACTATACTAAAATTGTATATCATGGCATCAGAAGAAACTACAATTAGTTTTCTTTGAGAAACAGAATAAATAAAATTAATTGCACTTGTGTGTCAATGAGAAGGTTTTTCATAAATTGTAAAACGTATTTTTGACTACATAATCGCGTATATAATAAAACGTATTCTTATAATATGAGTAAGGTGATCAGATGTCTCACTCTTGGTGAGATGGTCCTGATTTTTAACAACTTGTCCCGCATTCTGCTGCATTTTAAAAAATTCTTGATTTTTAGAAAGAATGCACAAGCTAGGGAATGACCGGAGAACGGAAAGAGAATATACGGTTTTCGGCGACATGTCGCTATTTCTTCCAGAATATGAGGTTTATATTATTTTTGTTAATTTTATAATGTTTAGTATTAACAATAAACAATAATTAGTGAGAACTGCATATGAAAGTTTGTATTGTTGATGAGTTGTTAAAATTCGACCAACATTGTTGGAAATTAATAAACAATCCAAAAATGATCTTTTTAATGGAGTATCATTATTAAAAAAATAAATTGATAAGAAAAGGATAAATTTTGGGCATCAGCTAGTTAACTTCATTTGGTACTTTGATTAATAACATTTTGTCACCTTCTATAGGTTTTATCGAATTTTGAAAAAGAGCTTCTTGGTTGTGTACATACTGCTGACACAAAATATCTCGGTCATAGAAACTGTTATTATTGAAGTCATAAATTAGACGTCAAATACATCATCAACATCTTTAGAACTACGTTATCAACCTTATTTCATCTGAATACTTTATTACCTGAATATATTTGCACCAGACTATCATTATGTACAATAAATTATAGTATGTAGACTGTTCTACATATCATGGGTGATAAATTATTGTAACAATGAAATTGTTTGGACCAAATTTTTAGTCATGAACCCTCCTCCTTAAGGTTGTTCCGCTTTACCATTGTTAAAATCTGGTCATCTTAAATATAAGGAATCGCTATTTTCCTTTATGATTTTGAATATTTCATGCCATCTATACTATCTTTGCTGTAGTTTCTGGATAGCCCTTATTTCTTATAAAATAAAAAAAAAAATCAAATAATTAATTTACCTATTTTTTAGGTTCATTAGCATATTAAACTTAGTTTAGTAAAATGATATTCCTCAATTCTTTTAATCTCACTGGTACACAAAGCGACTCGTTACTAAAATTTCTAAAATAATTATTAATCACAAAACTGAAAAAGTGGAATGAAAACAAATACTACCTCTGATATAAGCAAAAACGAAGCAGCTCTTGCCTGCCAGTGGTAGTGGAAGCATGACCATGTTCTGCACCTTCAATGAGCTCTCAGTTCATTTTAAAATCAGTGATTAACTGTTGTGAAAATTCTGTTTGTTTCACTGAAAGTTAAACCTGCTTATTTAATGCAAAATTATAAATTACATTAATATATATATATTTTTTTTAGGATCATGATAGTTTTTATTTTATTGTTTGTTGTTCATTATTGTTATTTATTTATTTTTAAGAACTTAAACAGAAAAATTACATGGATCACTTAATAATATATTTTATTAAGTAAATATTAATAATATATTAGTATATTTTATTAAATAATATATTTTTTATATGTTTGAATTTATCGTCAAACTGTGGAGTGTAAAATCTATTATATGATCAGCTATGTGGATGGCTATATGGAATTGTATTTATACTAGAACTATTGTTGATATTTACTATTTATGTATGTATTTTTTTTTTCTATAGTCTCTTTTTAATTTTATCAATGTGGCCAAATTAATTTTAAAGAAAATATCTGGAATAAATTCTAAGGGCACTATGTATTATTATCTTTGGGATAGATCAAATACATTTTTATTAACAGCAATAGAATATGAAAATTCAGCGGGAGATTCATCTGCTGATTATATTTTATTAGTTTAACAGAGAAATGTCATTTATTTTTCTGATTATGTCAGATCTCATTAGAAATCGGATGGTTTAATAGTTACTAACACTATTTTATTGCTCCTATTCGTCAACAAACCTTTGATTATTGTGATTGTGTAATAATTAAAATAGTTCTTTTTAAATTTTGTTTGTTTGTTGTTTTTATTTTTTTATGTTTATAAGTTTTATATAAATAAATAATTTTTGATTGTTGGAAATTTAATCATTATAATATTCTTCCTTTAATTCACTTGAATAATTACATATAGGTACTTTAGGAGTCTATTTATAAAGGAGTTTTTGTGAAAATATTAATATGGCACTTCTCCTTAGTTAATATGTTTTAAAGTAATATTTTTTTTATTTGTTTATTTTTATTTATTCTTGGCGCTATGGTCCTGTAACAACTTAAGGCCTCTCTTAGGAACCTTCGCCACTCTCCTCTATCCTGAGCTAGCATTTTCCATCTTCGAATTCCCATCCTTTTCAGACTATCCTCTACCTGGCCCAGCCATCTGAGGTGTGGTCTTCCTTTTCCACGTTTTTCAGCAGGCCGATCCTCTAGCAAGCGTTTGGGAATCGCATCTCGGGGCGTACGCGCCACATGACCCAACCATCTGATCTGGTTTCCCTTCGCAATTGAGATCAAATCCGCCCTAGCATACATCAGCTCTTCATTAGTGCGCATTCTTCGTTCTGTTCATTCCTGTTTGCACACCGGGCCATAGATCCTGCGGAGAACTCTTCTCTCCCATGTGAGTAGCCTTTTTTTCGATGCTTTGTAGATAACCCAACTCTTAGAGCCATAGGTGACGACAGGTCTAATGACTTTCATACACTGTGATCTTTGTTCTGTAAGAAAGGGATCTGTAATTTAATATTTTTGGCATTGCAAAACAGCACCTATCCCCGGCAGCCAATGTTGCTTGTTTTCTGTAATTAGTGTTCCCAAATAGTTAAAATGTTCAACCACTTTTAGGTGGATACCAATTGTGACGCGTTCAACTGTTTCACTTGGCTGTTTAGGAGTGGTTGTTGAACATTTAATTAATCATTAAAATACACTCTCCAGGTCTCCAAGATTTTTGATGGATCACTGATAAGTTCATCCATCTTATTTTTGTATATTGTCGTTTTGGGTTGGAAACCATTCTTGAATTCCTTCACGTCTTTGTAAAATTTTCTTGTCAGTTTTGAATCAAAATCACTTTGGAGCATTTCGAGTTTGCTTTTTTAAAACTTCTCTTCTTCTGCCTACATATCTTCTTTGCAATCCTTCTCATTGATATATATTCCTCTCTACTTCTTCTTGTACCCACAGTAAGCATTCTCAATCTCGCTTCTTTTCTGTCCCTAAGTGCTCGGTCACATTCCTCATTGTACAAGGAATGGTACAATGAGGAATGCGACCACTTATCTGTGTTGTCTTCAATATCTCCTTGGCTCCCTCGTTTAAAAATGATTTAATCCTTTCCCAATAACTGTTTATTTCTGTATTTTTATTATACCTCTTTAAAAATGAATCCTTTATAATTTCTTTAAATTATTCAGCTTTTTTAGTTATTTTTAAAATTCCACTCTGGTATCTGATAATTGTTTTCCCTTTTTCTCGGTATGTGGATGGATTGGTAGGGTAGGTTTGGTTTGGTTTTTGTAGAGGTGGATGGTGGTAGTAAGGGGGGGGGTGGTTAGTGGGGGTTTTATTGTGTGTGGGTGGTGTTTGGTAATGTTGTGGGGGGGATGTGGGTTTGGTGTGGGGTTGTGGTTTTATGGTTTATTTGTTGGTAGTTGGGTTGTAGGATTTTATGTTAAATTTTGGTGTTGTGTGATTTGGTTAATTGGGTTGTTTTTTTTTAGGTTTAAATAGATTTTTTGTGTGGGGGGAGGGGGGTGGTGTGAGTGTGGAGTTTTAGTTGTATTGTGGGTGGTTTGGTGGTGTGTTTTTTTGTGATGGGATAAAGTGGTGGTTAATAAGGATTAGTATGTGGGGTTAGGGAGTGTGAAGTTTTGTTGAGTTGGTTTTTAATGTTGTAGTGTGTATGGTATGATTTTAATTGATTTAAGGTTGTGATTGTTTAGTGAGAGTTTGAGTATGTGGGTTGAAAGGTTTTTGGTTGATTGTTTAATTGTGTGTGATTTTATGTGGTTGTTTTTTTTTTTGGGTTTGGTAAAATTTTGGGATTATAATGTTTTGGTATTTTGTAGGGGGTTATGGTTTGGTGGTTTTGGTGGTTGGGTGTTGTGGGGGTGGGTTTGTAGTACATTGTTTGTTTGGAGAGTTTGGTGTTTGCTTGGTGTTGTTGTGGAGGGTTTGTATAATTGATTAGGTTGGTAGGTTTATTTGTAAGATTCAGTTTTTTTATTTTAGTAATTTTGTGTTTTATAGTCTTTGTTTTTAATTGGGGTATGTGTTTTTATGTGAAGGGGTGTAATCAAGAAATATTATATTATAAAATATTTAGGCGTTTAGGTTGTGTGTTTATGTGGTTTTTAAGTAACAAGTTTGGTTATAGTGTTTATTGTTAAATTGTTATTATCATTTAATTAATTTTCATATTTTAACATATATATTTATGATAATTCTGCACATTTTTTTTATTAGTACCTTTTGCAATTACAAGGAGAGGATCTAACATATATTTTCTTGATTTTGATCAAACTTTTTCAGGTGAATCTATGCCTTGAAATATTAGTAAATTATCTATCCTCTAATATTACAAATATCATTGCACAATATCGGCCCACAGAGTTCCGGAAAAATAAGGAAATTTGCATTTGCAAAACATTTTTTTTTTGTTCCGGACCAGATTTGTTTGCCAAAATGTCTCTACTGCCATGTGGGATGCATGAAAAAATAATCCATTAAAATATTGACGTATTAAGCTTGGTAACAATACCAAAAATATATTTTAAAAAAAAAAGTGATTTTTGGAGGCGGGGAATTACTGGTTTCCTCAAAAACGAAGCACAGATTTGAAATTCTAATTCTCAAGAAACCGGTGATTCCTAATGTTTATGAAAATTGAAAATAATTCAGCCAACTATACATATTGATTTTCAATAGAGGGGCACCAATAGTTGAGGTGAGGACCACAGAGTTCCTGTTTGTGAATAGTATGGGTTTGATTTCTGCCTGGGTTAGTTAAAATTCATTTTGTGGTGGGTTTGTTGAAAAAATTTTCACATTGGTCATATTAGAGCAAGAACCTCTTAGCTTTGAGAATTTAATTTTTTTTTCATTAGCTGATTATTGATTTCTTTAGTTTTATCCTGTTACACAAGATAGAATTTGACTTTTGTTTCTAAGTGATCTCCATTAATTTTATAGTTTTTATGAGATTTTCTTCTTACGTATTATCTCCTTAAAGGCATTAAATTACTATGCTATATACGGTGGTCACATTTTCTAATCTGAGAATTTTAATATTTAATAAGAATATAAATAAATGGTATTTATACCATCTTTTTTTTGCTTATATCTGGTCAGTTTATTGTTGGAGTCTTAAGATTAATATCAAGACTGACAACCAAAATCTGAAAATGATGTGAAGTGATTAGTCCAAATTCGCAGCTTGGGCGTAATGCTTGCAGATTAGTTCTTTCATTCATATTTTTTATACCAGAACATTTTTCACCTTACAAGTTGTTTTTTTCATTTATGAGATATTTTTTATGTCTCTCCTCTTTTACTAATTATATTTAGCAAGTTTAAATCTGAATACATATATTAGTTTTATAAAATAATTCGGGTTATTACTCAATGAAAAAACAATATTTTTATGAGAATATTTGTTTTCTGGGTCATGAATATTTAAAATGTTTGAGTATGTTATTTTTCTGCTTAGTATATTTTCAAAACAATATTTTCTAGTTTTAAAGATCTCATGGAACAATTTCTTTCAGGGAGCTATGTTGCTACTATTGAGAAGAAAATTTCAAGACAGGATAAAGAGGTGGTTTATGCTAGGGTATACACAAATTGGGAAACTAGTCGAGGGGAAGATCAACCAATGCGAGCAAGAATAGCTGGACGGGTCACACCAAGTAGCAGCCAAACTGGAGGAGATGTCTTGGAAATGATCGAACTTCCCTCAAGATTTTCTAAAATAACTGCAATCACACCTTGTCAGGTGCTTATTTTCATTAGATTGTAAATGCTTATTTTTTTTTTTTTTTTCCTGTTCTTCCCTTCCTCGCCTTTTAGGCCAAAAGGGATTTTCCCAGGCTAGGTGTTGAGGGTGGGGATTAATACCAGAGTTAAAAACCCCACTGGCATCAGGACGCGAACTCGTACTTACTTTATTCCATATAACTTTGGTTATCAGGCTTGGTACTGTGTAAATGCATTACCCTGCTCAGCCACCCCACCCCTGTTGTAAATGCATTAAAATAATTTATCATTTTAAAAAATTACTTGAAGAAAAAAACTCAATCAGCTTAATTTCCTTGTTAGTCTAAATTTTATCTTCTACCCTCTGGGTTTAGAGGATATTCAATTTTTAGATTTTATTAATTTTTAAAAAGTGTTAGTAAAACCGTTGATATGCTTCTAATTATTTTTTGCATTTAATTTACAGGAAACTGGTAACATTATGATTGCTTGTGATCGTGTTCTCTGTCTTTTCCAACTTGTGACGAGGACCCATGATATATCGAAGCAAAGATTTTTAGATTTTGAATTGTGGCCTGTAACTTTGGAGCTAAGTTTTAGCCCTAGCTTTCTTAGAATGTCTGAAGATGTCGTTGGTGCAATGAACTCTACTTCTCTTCATGTGTTTAGATTGAACAAAGGTTTTGCTCGGGCTTCCGATTGGTCTAGTCACACTCCAAAGCCAACACCTAGTAAGTTATAATTAAATGTGTGTTAATAATTTTTTTTTCTTTCTTTCAATTAAATAATCTACAATTATGTTAAAGCTGAAACTGCTTGGTTTGAATGCAAATGTATATGAAATGAATGAATAAGAACTGATTACTTGTTATTATTATTATTATAATTTTTTATCATGGTTCATATTACGTTGGTATATAAATGATTCATATATTTGTTTTATGAAATTTAGTATGCCTAGTCATTCCAGAGGTAGGTTTATTGAAAAAAAAATGGAATATTTTCATAAAAATAACAAATTTACAGCATTTTTTGGAAAGAAAGGAAAACCACAAGTAGCCATTTTTATTTTTTATCCATGCAACTTATGATGAAAATAGTTCTAGATTAAGAATTTCTAAATATATATATATATATATATATATATATATATATATATATATATATATATATATATGTATGATTATAATATTAATATATATATATGTATATATATTATTATCGTCTCTTTATAACAGTCCATTAAGAAATCAATCTAAGATAAGGAGTCCTTCAAATTAAAGAAAAGACAGCGAAAGAATTTAAGATATTTATATAATATGAAGAATAATAATGTTTCTTTTAAAGATTATTATCATCAATTTAGAATTCAAAATATTTGTTATTAGGTTCACTATATTTTAATTGCTTATTAAATAAACTTTATAACTGTTGAGTTCACCATTTATCAATATTTTTTCTAGAGCAAAATGAGAATGTTATGAAAGTGAAGAAAGCAGTTGAAGGTCCCATTGACTTGGAAGTTCTTTTGAAAGAAGTTGCTGAAGGGGGAAGCAAGGAAATGGACAAACTAGGAAATGGACCAATCCCTGTCCTTGCCTTGTTGCCATCTCTCAGATCAGCCCGTGAAAATGATCCTTCCAGAAACCTTAGAGTATCTCCTTTTAAACCACCTGGTTCAGTCACTATGGGCGTTGCAATTAAAGAAATCCCTGCTAATGAGGTATTCATTATATTTTAATTCATTTTTAATTATCTATCTAGTTATTCATTTGAAAATACCTCTGACTTCAATGGATACAGCTTTTTTATTTACTAGCCATGGGCTGAACAAATGACAACTATGGTTGAAAGTTTACTTCAGCTGGAATTAGGAGAATGGGGTGATAATTTAGTACCTGAGAAATTTACTTCCTTGGCTCTCCGACCACTGTATCAAATAAACAGGCATTTCACTGGAAAAGCAGGTAATGAGTTTTTGAGGTAATAAATATTTTTCCATTTCCATTTCTGTTTTATAATGTGCCTTGTTTGTTCCAATTATTATGTTTGTTTTTCTTCTCTATTTTTGTAATAAGCTGAATGACCATAGAATTTTTTATTTATTTTTGACATGCAGATACAGTTCAAATCCTGTATCATCACACGGATCATTTACTTGTTTTTAGAATCAAGCTGTCCAAGACTAAGGTCACCTTCCTATTCTGGTCTAGTTGCTTTTAACTGCTTTGTGTGCACCCAACAAGAAGGGTTCATGTACCATTTTCCTGTTGAAGATGGTGAAGTAGTAAATATCATATAATCTATTCATTTATTAAATTTAATAATTGTTTCTTTTGCGAGAATGTTAATTTGTTTTCTTATTTCAGATGAGTTTGGGAAAATGCATTTCAGAATATAATTTCACATCAACAGTGAAACATGTTTTATTAGAGCAATCTTTGCTTCATGCTATAACTACCACTGGTCTTGAAACATATACCTTACGAACAATTAATGCTATACACATAAACAACGAAATGGTAAAAATTAAAAAAAAAATATTTTCGGCTGTTAGAAATCATTAGTTATTATTTGAACCTGGCTTAATCTTAATGCAGCCTATCTATTTTCACGCTTATATTATTTTCGTTAGGAAGCTTGCCCCCCTGTGGATGAACCAGTTTGTCTGCTTGGCTTAAGACCATTTCTTGGAGTTGTAGATTTACTTTTAACCAACTCATATGTTGTTGTATTGTCTTCTTCCAATGAAAAAAAATTAAAGTAAGTTTTCAATAGGTCTTTTTTTCTATTTTGTATTGTGTTAGTTAATTTTTTATAATAGTAATTAGAAAAATAATGATTCATTCAAAATTTATAAAAGGAAAAAAAATCTGATTTGTGACTCCCAGCAATTATATTTAGCGACTTAGGATGAAGTAGAATTAGTGATTTCTTTGTTTATATTGTGCTGTAAATATTATAAATAAAGATTATTATATTTGGATAATTAAACATTAATTAGTAAGAATTTTATTAAATGAATGAGAAAAATTTAAGATTCTAGTTTTTCAAAATCTATGAACTTTAACGCTGTCATTTTCCTGTATTGAGTAAATTTTTATTTTTTTAAATTATTGTGGTCTGAAATAAAAATGCATTTTAATTGTTAGCTTATTTATTTAATTATATATCTATTCCTGCTATTTCAGAAAAAATTCAGCCATTGGTGACCTGACTATTTATGGTCTAAAACTTCCTAGTGTTGAAAGCCTGTACAAAGAGATGCTATATGTTTGCTCTGGACATCGGCTAAGTTGTCCGACAGCATATAATCAACTTCTTTTAGAAGCACACTTGTTGGTCCGTTCCTCTATCAGTGTAACATCGTGTAACCAACAGCAGCCATTACTAGGACAACATCTTCAACTCTACAGGGAATCCTGTGCTCTTCTTTCTGATTACTATTTAACGTGAGTATTCTTCCATTCCGGATATTGTGCCCTGTATGATTGTTTGACTCTTCGGTTATTGTAAGCTTAAAAATATATAATTAAATAAAAAGTATTTAATCATATTGGATATACTAAGTTTATAACATCTCTTCATGTAGAGATTGTTTGTGGTTTCTGTACTCATCAAGAAAAAGTGCTGTATGTTGCTCAATCTTACATTATTCTTTACATGCAGAACTAAATGAGTAAATTTCTCACATTGCTATCATGCAGTGTATACTCCCTAAGCTTATTATCATTGCTAGACTATTCAAAACGCATTGCAAAAATGTAAACCGTCACTCCAAATATTTTTCTATCGCAATTGAATTTTAGTATCTCATGAAACTGCTTTTTATTAGTTCCACTTAGCTCAATATAGATTATATTGAAACTTACTTCATTTATTTACTTTCAAGAACTTCATTTATTTTATCAAATTTAATAATACTTAAGGAGATAAAACTAAAATTAAAAAATCACTATTACTAACCTAATCCTATTGAAATATTCAACCAAAATTATACTTTAAAATAACTTTTTTGGTGTATTATTCATTAATTTTTTTTTCTAATAGGTCTGAAGCTGAGGAAGATTGGGAAAAAGGTTATAAGTATAGTGTCATGGCTGGTTTGAGTCCAACAATGGTTATGGATCGATTGAAAAAATTAGAAGCTGATGCTAAAGAGGTCTTATTCATTAGTAATAAGAAAAATAATAAATTGTGTTTCTATGAGGATTGTATAGTTGGTGTATAAATATGTTTTCAGATGGGTATCACTATCAATACCAAAGAAGGACTAGGATTTTTTTTAAAAGAATGCTTAATTAAGTGTGATGAAGATTCTAGTCTTCCTACAGGTGCTTTGAATCGGTTGTTGGAATTAGCACAGACTCCTCAACCGGATTCATCATGTCTTGTCTCTACGTTGGTCCTTCAGTCACCACTGCTTAGGCAATTTTCTACTGAAACTTCTATACGCATTATAACAAGACATATAAAAGAAAGGTTATTTTACATCCTCAATTTTGATCATTTTTTTCAATTTATTAAAGATACATTAGAATATTAATTTAAGAATTATTCGTTAATGGAATGGAATTTTCCACCTCAAACCCTACTAATGTTTTGATAAACCTTTTATATGGTCATATGAACTTTCTATATTAAATATAGAAAAATAGTACCCTACTTGAGTTCAGTGAGTAAGGTACTGAGTTCCAATTCTCAATGATCCGGGTTGAAGACCAGCTATAGCAGATAATTATTTATTATTTTTCATCAGCCATGGTTTAATCTTGGGGTCGGGGAGACCCACCTGGCACACACACAGCTTTTAAAAAGTTGGTATCCATTACTATCCATGGGTATTTAATTGATCAAGGAAAAAACAAGCAAGTTAAGTGTGATCCTGACCCTATCATCTTCCTGTACAACCATTGGCCTAGGAATAGTACTTCCGTACAAAGTACTGAACCTAAGACCCTTCATAGGTTGTAGTAGTACAGGATTTTTTTTTTTTACAGTACACTTTTTTAAGAAACTTATTTTTTTTAAGGAGAGATAATCTTTACTGTTAAGCTTTTTCATCCTTTAACATTGATTATAACAAACATAACATGATAGTTTAGTTATTATCTATTTAATAATGTACATAAATGTTATAAAACATGTTTATACTAAATTTATTTGGAAGAATGAAGCTTTCTTTGTTATTTTAAATATAATTTGTTTATTTTGAATTGATACAAGAAATTATTTTATTGATATATGGTACATCTTTAATAATATGTGTTTCAAATGATAATAATTTACACACTAATAATAACTTACATGCTAATTATAATAATAATAATAACTTACACACTATATTCTCCTTTGTTTTCTATTTTTATTCATACTTATTTTCTATTTTTGTTTGTATCTTGTATCCGACCAACTCCTTCTAATATTATATCACGGTCAACCATCTCTACATCATTGTGATAATAATTTATATTTTTTAAATTACATTTTTATGATTTTAGTGATGCAGTTGATCCCCAAGACTGTTTAGCACTATGTGTTCTTTATATCTCCAGGAGTAAAATAAATGATGCTAGCCAGGTTTTGGATATTCTTGGTGAAAATGATGAGAGGTTAATAAATCTTTTGCTGAAATATTGGACACTGCTTTTCGACAGTACAAAGCAAGTAAGTAGCAATTATCAAACTACTCATGTGTACTTCTTAAGGCTAGTTTTCACAGTTAGGTATCTTGACCAGTTTCTTGGATAAACTCACTTTGTTCTAGAAACTTAACCCCGTAAATGTGTCTTGTTACATTGTGTTACCAATTGATCAAATATGTTTGAATTTTTTTAGAAAAAACACCAAACTATAGAGTGCAGACTTCTTGTGTTCAGGAAACATATAATTCTTCAGAATAAACCTCTGTAGCCAGATGACATTTTTATAATATGAGATTGTCATTATTACTCTTTGCTTTGTAATTTTATTGTTGAAGTCAAAATGTCTGTATGGTTCCATTGTCAGGTTTTAAAATGGATTGAAATTATAAGAGAGAGACATAATTAATATGAATTCTAAATCAATGTAAAAAGTTTTCTGTTAATAAAATATTAGCAACAATTTTGTAGGTGTTGTTGATTTTTATTACCTAAAATTAACTACACATCACTATTATTAGCTTCTTGCTTATTTTATTTAAAAGGGTAATGTTTATTACTATTTGAAATTTCATGCAAGTACATCATTTCAAGTAAGAAATTTAAAATAATCCCTTGAAGATGAAACAGTTTTTTCAATTGATGGAAAAGTCATATTTTGTAACCATTGTGCAAAACAATTATTTATTTTATATATTACAATTATAGATAACTTTAAAAATAAATAATCCTTTTTTTTTTTTTTTTTAGTAAAATGTCCTGTTATAATATTAAAAGTCATAATTTCAGATTAAAAAAAAATATAATAATAATCTGTTTCATATTTTTATTGTAATTAATTAGATTTTTTCGTTTTTATTGTGTGGGTAATAATTGCAGAAAACTCTTCTATAGCTTTTAGTATATTTCAAAATAGTTTTCAAACTTAACTTTTTTTTTTTTCAGATGAGCAAAAAATGCAGTTTTGGAAAAGGAGATTGGGATGGCCTTACGTTATCTGAATTATCTGTGCTACTTATAGAAAAGAGGCCAAAGGATCTCGCAATAGTACTTTCCTCTTTAATAATCAATTTAGGAGCTGTGAAATTGGAAGAAATTCTTCAAGTACGTTATAAAAATTATTTTACATTTTTGCTGCAATAATTAAAATTTAGTTTTTATGTAAACAATATTTTAAACCAAAATTCTGCAATTCTCTTTATACATTAAAATAAGAAAAACAAAACCAGTATGTATTTTTTTTTTTTTAAATGCTGCATCTATCTCTATCTTTGTTATTCATTGCTAAAAGTCTATACACGCATTCTTCGTATTACGAATAATGACATCACCCATTGACTTGGTTTCAGGTTTTTTTAAATTACCTTCCAATAAGAATGAGTAGTGGCAGCTCCTCCGTTACCTATGTTCTACAAATCTTTTTAGAGAAAGTTTTTTGTGGCTGGTATGCAGAGGATCCATCATGGCATCCTACACCAGACAACATTGCTATACTTGATGGCCTTAAGGTGAATCAAAAGTTCTTTCATAACTCTTATTATTATTTTTAATTTTAAATTTAAACTGTTTTAGTTATTTTAATCGTAGGTAAGCATTTTTTTTTTTTTATTTAGTTTGCTAAAATCATTTAAATTGTTTTATTAATAAATTTTGTATTAACTATGTCGTTTCATATTAGTAAATTTTAATATTAGATTATTATGAATATTAAATATTCAAGGCCTTAAAGAGACTAGGTGTTTTTGTCTTCTGTTTTTAAATAAACTTTTAAAATAAAAACGTTGCCAATTCATTCCTGTATTTTCTAATTGTTTCTTGTCATCACCAATTGTGGATATTTGAGAGAAGCTTAACATTTATAAGATAATTACTTGAAATATAAATCACGAAAACTTTCCTCTTCCATTTTTGTCAATTTATTTATCTGTCTAACGTTTCAGACTCTTTGTCCATCTTCAGAGACATTTATTTTTCACTTCTTAATGTTTTTCCTTTATTTCCTGTTCTTTTGATGATGCATTTTTTTAACAGCAGAAGAAGATAATTACTATATAACCAGAGAATATTTAACTGTAATGATTTCATAATGATGTAGAGATGGTTGACCGTTGATATGATATGAGAAGGAATTAGTCGAGGGTGCGGTCAAAAAAAAATTAAAAATTAAAATATAAAAATAATTTTAATTTTTGCCGACGTTTCGACCCACTTTGCAGGTCGTCTTCAGGGCTACAAAAGATACAAACATGTTGAAAATATAAAAATAAAATAAAAAATAAATATAAGTATATATAAATTACGAAGAAGTTGTCAGATACAGAAATAAAAGATAAAGAAAATAAATACATGATAAGAAAATAGATAAAAGAAAATAAATACATGAATGTTAACGAATAAATAGATTGAAAATTGAATAACTATTGTTACAGTAAAGTTAAAATATGGATAAGATAACATAATAATAAGATATCAGTGGATAACAAGCAAGTGGAGGTTACCTTTAATTGTAAATAAACAGATACCGGGACCAAAGGTTAAGAAGTGAAGAAATTGAAAGATTAATAGGGTAACATTAGTGTAATATTGTTGGGATAGATTATTAAGTATAAATAACTCTATAAGAAAACAATAATTTTAAAAGAATACTTTAAAATGTAAGAATAAATGTAAAAACAAGGTTATGATGATAAAGAAACAAAAAAACAGGTTGTACTATATGACAATTGACATTTAGTTTTTTGAAAGCGGTAATGGAATGGTAGGCTGTATGAAGATAATAATAAGGTGTATAGTTGAAGGATAGGTGTGTTAAGAAAGGAATCTCAATAAAAGTCAAAACATACCGTTGGATGTAGCACTGCGGGAGGCGGTTGAAACACTGGCAGTGTCAAAAACTCTAGTTAGCAGTGTCAAAAAAAAAGTTCTAGTAAAAATAAACGCATACATACATACACATATATACACATACAAACAAACACACACACACACATATATATATATATATATATATATATATATATATATATATATATATATATATAAAAGGAAAAGTAAAAGAAAGTATAAATGGAAGTGAGAAGATTGAATAGAGGTTTATCATCGAGACTTTTTTAAAATGTTGATGATTTGGGAGTAGGCGAGTGATAGATTTTGCTTGTCGGTTTTTAAGTTAAGTGGTTTGTAGTCTAATTGAATGAAAACACTTTCCGTAAGTAGTCTTTTGTCGTGGTTAGGTACTGTGGCAAGAATGGAGGTATTGTCAAAGTTAAATGTGTGGTTTGAGGTTAAGGCGTGTTCAGAGAGTTTAGAAGCAGTAGAGTTCTTAGAAGTAATTGAGTATTTGTGTTGTTTGATGCGGTCTTTAAGTTGGTTTTTGGTTTCTCCAATATAGGCGGAGTTACAATTGGTGGTAGAGCAAGGAATGCGGTATACGATATTAGAGCGGTGTTGCGGAGGGATGGGGTCTTTTAGGTTGGAGTAAATATTGGCAAGTTTGTTATAGTTTTTAAAAGCAACTCGCAGGTTGGGAATAGAGGAACGTAAAGATTTTTGAATTCTATCCGAAAGTAAAGGGATGTATGGTAGAGATCTATATAAAGGAATGGGGGGCTGATTTTGAGAACTAGAGAAAGGGATGGAGGATGAGGGGCGGGTTTTGTAGTCAGTAATAAGTTTTTTAATGGTGTTGGAGGGGAAGTTATTAGACAATAGTATCTGTTGTATGCGTCTAGTGTTTGTTTCATGTAGGTAAGGGTCAGATAGAGAAAAACATCGGTGAATGAGGTTTTTGGCAACGTTAAGTTTTTGGTGAAAGGGGTGTTGAGAATAGTAGTTGAGTAATCTGCCAGAGTATGTTGGTTTTGTGTACCAGTCTGTGGATAAAGTATTGTTGGGATGTCTTTTAATGAGAAGATCGAGGAAAGGGAGGGAATAGTTATCTTCGTATTCAACTGTAAAAGAGAGGCGGGGATGATATGAGTTAAAGGCGGAAAGGATGTCAGGAATAGTATCAGGATTGACGATGAGAAGAAGGTCATCGACGTATTTTTTTATAAGAAATATGTCATTAGGAAACTGTGGGGCTATGGTGTTTAGGAGATCATTAAGAACAATGTTAGATAAGTCGGGTGCGAGAGGATTACCCATAGCTAATCCTGCAATTTGATTATAAAATTGTCCATGGAACTGGAGATAACCAGATTTGCAACAAAGTTGTAGGGATTCAATAAATGATGAACGGTTAAGGGAGGTATGAGACTCTAAGGATGACCAGTTATTTTCTACTATAAGAAGGGCTTTATCTATAGGGATGTTGGTGAAGAGGCTTTTAACGTCGAAGGAGACTAGAATGTAATTATCGGGAATGGTTAGGGATAATAACAAATTACGTAGATGAAAGGAGTTGTGGATATCATATGGATTGTCATGACTAAGGATTTGTAAGGATGGGAGTAGAAATTTGCTGAGTTTTAAAGAGGGAGAGTTGATATTAGAAGTGATAGGACGGAGGGGAGTGCCGGGTTTGTGAATTTTTGGAAGACCATAGAAACGGGGAGCCACGGAGTTATAAGAGATGAGGTTTCTGTAAGTAGGATATGTGATTTGTTTAGAGTGTAAGAGGTTTCTGATATGTTGGTTAAATTGGATTTTAAGAGAAGGAGTGGGGTCACGAGTTGTAGGAGCGTATGTAGATATGTCTGATAGGAGTTCAGTCATTTTTCTATTATAGTCTGTGAGGTCCATGATAACTGTTTTATTTCCTTTGTCCGCTTTAGTGATGATGATGTCGTCATGATTTTTAAGGAAGGAGCGTGTGGAAGAAAGATCTTTGAAGAATTGAGGGGAAAAGTTAGAAGTAGTGGATGGGGGGTGTTGGAGATGGTTAGAGATAATGTTAGTTATGGAAACACGAGATAATTCTTTATTATCATTAGAATGGTGAAAGATCGGATCGTTATAAATATATTCCAAGTCAGTAATAAGTTCAGGGATGAGTTTGGTAGAGGAATTAGGGGTGGAAAAATTCGGACCTAAGCTTAAAATGTTGAGGACGTTGGAAGGAATATCTATGGATGAGGAGTTGTAGACCCAATTATCGTCTCCTTTTGGGTATATCTTATGGACTAACGATTGCTGAAAAATGTCATTAAATTTAGTGGTGAGAATACTTTTTTTCTTTGATCTGGTAGTAATAAAGATAGTGGAGATAATTTGTGATAGGTTAGTCATGTGTTCGTCAGTCATGATGGTTTGTAATAATTGAGTGATGGCGGAAATTTGTTGGTTGAGGTGATGGATATGTTGTATGATTTCACGGATTTTCAAATTAAGGAGGGATTTTTTGAATTTTAAAGAACAGTTAGATAATTTGGAATTGAGTGGTTTGGAGATAGTAATGTGATTGAGGGAATTAGTGATTGATTTAGGAAAAAGAGAGTTGGAGCGGCATTTCAGTAAAAAAATGCGCTGTTCTAACGTGTCGGCAAGGCGTTTGTGGAGCGAGCATAGGTTATTAATGTGGTATTTGTGACTAGAATAAATGGTTTTGAAAAATGAGAAGGATAAATTAGCTTGACTGGGAGCGGAATTTATTAGAGAGGAGGAGTTTAAAACTGAAGAGGTCAATGTGTCATCATGTGACGAATTGTTAAATGAAGATGGAGAAGAGTGTGAAGAGAAGTGATTAGATAACGGTGCTGCGTGATGAAAAGTTCTGGAAGGTTTTTGAAATCTGGTACTGCGACCAATGGAATAAGCTATTTTCCAATGGAATAAGCTAAGCATTTATTAAATAAAATTTTACTTTAAAGTTTGTGTTTTTAATGGAGGAGACTACCTTGGAAATATTATATTGTATATATACAATATATAGAACTTATAAAAATTCTAATATTATATACATTATTTAAAAAGTAGTATGTAATCACTAAGAAATAAAAAAAAGAAAGATACACACATATATATATATATATATATATATATATATATATATATATATATATATATATATATATATATATATATATATATATTTAATTAATAATTAAAAAATAAAAATATCCAGACATGGCTTCTGTACTCTCAGTGATATACTACTCTTAGTGAAAGAACTACTAACCTTTTCTTTAATGCATCTAACAAATAGATCTTGAGTGAGTACAGTAATAGATCAATATAAGTTCAGTGACAGCTATGTCTTATCGCTTAACTATTAAACTGGAGGTATTTTCCAATGGAACAAGCAAAGCATTTATTAATTAAACTTTTACTTTAAAGTTTATGTATTGAATTGAGGAGACTACCTTGGAAATATTATATTGTATATATGATTAAACATGTTTCACTGATTTCCATTATACATCAAATGCATTAGGAAGAGGGATTGCTGTCTAATGTGATAATTGGTACTGGGATATAAAGTTGGTTCACTTTCTTCGAATACTGGAATTGAAAACTAAGATTTTTTTGAGAATTGATCTTGTAGGGAGCTCAATGTAGACTCTAAAAG